AAGTATAAATTTAATGCAATTTATAGTAAATTATTGAGAATTTTCTTTTGCAAAAAGAAGAATAAAAGATTTAATTTTTCGAGATAATTTTTACAAAAAAAAAGAGAAATTTGATAAAAAACAGAGACGAACTTTTTCCTTACAAAAAGAGAAAATGATAAATCAAAAAATAGGAAACGAGTTCCATTTTTAATTTTGAATTTTTTGTCTTATGAAAGAGAAAAAAGAATAAATTAAAAATGGTAGGCGAATTCCTTTTGTAACAAAGAATAATTTAAAGAAGGTTATTTATACAAGCTATATGTCCAAATTGGAATTATGGTTAGATTAAAAATATGAAATTTTAATCATTTCAATATATGATTGTCAAAATCAACACATTTCGGGATATGATCATCATCAATACAGGCTTATTTAAAAAAATGATTCAGAAATATAAATACTTATTATTAACGAATAGGAGAATGAACATCCCATGCCGATTACACGAGCCCACTTTCCGTAAAAGAGAAAACTACTAGTAGAAAAAACAAGCAGATACATCATCCGTATTTTCTTTCATTTATATTAAATGCCACACAAAAAGACGAAGTTGTTGATTTTGATGTTGAATATAGAATAAAACAGTGATGAATTAAAGTAAAATAAAGGGTTAAAATTTTAAGTAAAAGGGGTTAATAGTTAGAAATAGTTAGTCATGTTGCGGCGTCGGAGGAACCTCCAAAGCCGGACGTTTGTTAGGGGTGTAAATAAGGGCATTTGTTGTCACTTTCCTCTGGTAGCGTTCGACGCTTGAGGAAAACGATAATCCGTTAACTTTTTTTTATCCAAATATACTATCATAGCAAGTATGAAAAAAATGTGAAATTATTATGTGTCACTATATCTTTCTTGTCTTGCTTATTTAATATAAAAGCACTATGCTTAAAAGCAGTCGTATCGGATGTTGGTAAAAGTTTTATAAAATAAAATATTTTAGGTCACTTGTGAGATACAAAAATTATAATTTTTTATAATTATTTTGAATATTATGTATTATAATTTTTTGAGTTTGCGACGCGTTGTCTCCTCTCACCTATATCAGTTGGGGTCCTTCAGTTATATTTGTGATGAAATAAATAAAAACGAAAAATTTTACGACATTAAAAATGTATTTTAACGAAACGATGAGGAGGTTACCGAACGTCTGGCAGGTAAATTAAAGATTCGAAACTATTGTTATCGTTATCCTAAAAATTTGTTCCATTAAAGAAATTGTTTTCAATAGAATTATTTGTGATCTGTGGCGTGGTTATTCAAACATTACGTCATTACCATGATAAGGAAATAAAATCGAAAAATAAATTGAAAAAAAAAGAATTTCACTCTTATTACAACGAAAATTAATCTTGTTCGAAGATTAAACTAACATCTTTAAGTCCAAGTTTTATCAAAAAATTGTACTATATGCGAGTGGTACACAAATTAAAATGACGTGTATACGTATTATTAATGACCGACAATAAAGGTCTTTAGCACTAATTTGCAAAGTTCAGGAAGTTGAACATAAATTTTACATGACTAAAATCTTGATTTAAGTTGTGTAAGAAGGTGAACATATATATCATTATAAACGAAAATTTTAATTATAGCCTTTTAAAATTAACAGATATTAGTCCAACCTCTACCACATCGTAAATAAACTTGGAATGATCTTATTGTTCTAAAATCTGTCCATTGTTTCAATCTAACTAAGATAGGTCAAATTTCGGACATGATTTTTGTTTCAAAGTTTTAATGCACAATTTTTCAAACCTAATTGTATTGATTGTATTGCGTCATCATACATGATACATGATGATCTGATTGATGATGATGTTTAAACAAATATATATATAAATAGGTTTATTGTAATCGGTGATCATTCATATATATTGTACAAAACTCAAATTTTAATAATAACCTTTTTGAAATTTATTGATATGACATAACAGATAAGCTGGCTATGATTTACTACTCAATTCTTCGGTACGTGTTACCCAATTCATATCAAAAAGGGAAAAAAAGTGAAAACCATTTTTTATGTAACTTACCATTCCGGAAGCCTTTCTAAAGTAAAATAAAAAAAAGAAATCACAGAGCTTCCTAAAGATTTCCTTGAACGGATAAAGTCATAGGATTTATCCGGATTATCTATCATCTGGATTATATCTGAATGGATAATTCTATGGCTTAGGTTAATAAAGTAAATTAAGATACTGAAACTGTGGAACTACTAAAACTAGTTTCAGCCATACAGATAAAAATTATTGTGATATCTTTCTAACAATTAATAATATTGTTCATATTCCATAATAAATTAGAAAACTCATTTTATCGTGAAAAAAATACATATATACACAAAATTATTACACAAATGTCTTACATTATCATTAATCCACGTAATTCTAATCAGCATTCTTATCCTAGAATACAGATGGATCTTTTGTAAATTACTCCACCGGTATAAAAAAAGTATAAAAAGTATAAAATCGGTGTATACGTCATATACAATGAGATAAGCTGGATATCTAATAAAAACTTCATATACACCGATGCTCTCCTCCTTTTCGGGTGCCTCCAGCAAGGCATCGGTGAATATTTTAGTTATTCATTGATATCCATGAAATAACATGTATTTATTCTGGGGTAATTATTCGGTATCTTGATTGTTTGGATATCCAGATCTTAGAATTTCCAAATAAATTATCCTAATTATTCATAGGATGATTCGACAAATACTCTACCTAAGTTTTTAGATGAAAAACTAAATTTCTAAACCGCTTTTTTATCCCATCATTTCTCTTCCCACAGTGGCTATTCTTATGATTCCTTGTACCATTACCAGAATCGTCGGTACTTTTACTCATTAAATAGTTAATATTGCATAACTTTGACGCGGAACAAATTTTAAGAATTTCAGTATATATATAGTATATACAGTAAGCCAATTTGTGCAGTGCTTCCTTCCTTTATACGATCGTTCTTCTTAGAATGTATGTATGTATATATAATCTTTTAATACCTCATGCAAATATTGTTTTACTATTATAAATTTATTGCATGATTTATCTAGTAACCAATAGTCTATTATTGCAGAACATTGAATAATAGACTACCGCGGTTTAAAAATCATATTTTATAATCCCAATTGTATTCGTTACTATTTATTTAAATGTGATGTCATTTTTGTGTCGCAATTGTAACTGTGTTTAATAAAGAAAAAAATAATGAATTGTTTTATGGGTTTAAGTTCGTTACAGAATTTAATTAAAACATAATTAGACCTAATTTGGTAAATATCTAAAATTTTTCCAAAAAAAAATGAATTTGATACTAATTCTCTTAAAAAAGTGCTATAAAAATAACAATTGCTACGCAAAAATTCTTTTTATAATAGAACATTAACATTATTTTTAATCTATTCAGGTTATGCATTGAAATTCCATAGAAATTTATTTATTAATGATGCCATTTTAGATAAATTGATTGTAAATTATATAGTTATCAAAGATATTCTATTTAAGTTTTCATTTATTATCAGTATACTAAAATTCATACAATTAAAATGAAACGAATCCGATAAAAAGAAATTCTAGACATTATATACGTTTATTTAATATATGAAAATCCCAATAAAAAAAAATTCTAACATTCTAATAATTTTTAGTTACAGCTGATTGAATCTGATTGAAAAAATCGGTTGAAGGAATATTCTCGTTATCTTAAGCGTATGCTGCATGCGTTTCATAAGTATTCCTTTCTATATAGAAAGATATTATCGTGCTAAGTTATAAAAGGATAAACTGAAAAAGAATAATAAATGAGTGAATGAATAAACAAATGAACGGTTAGTTATAAATATATCTTTGAAGAAAATTATTCTTTATCTTAAATATAAATTTCAATGAAAATTAAAAATCCTTAAAAGCAAGGTATTTATATTCGGATACTCTTCAATTTATAAATATTTTCTTTACAACCTGTTCAATCAAACCCTTTTCGAATTTATTTATTCTTCGGTTATTCAAATATCCTTTAGATATTACTACATCGTACAGCAACGATTATCTTTATTATAAATTACATATAAATAGTCTGAATAATGATTGACTCAGTTTCTTTTAGGTGCAAACCTGTCAACAAACAATTATTATTTAACCGTCTATTATAGTATAAATAAAATACAATATTCCACTCGAGTTCTTAAATGAGAACAATGGGATGTTTTTTAAAGACATTCGGTCATGCGTCATTATATACTGAACATGAATAAATTGATTATCGTAGGCCGAAATTTTAAATGAAACCATTATCATACTGGTATTCAATATCTAACAATAATAATATTGTGCTTATCAAGATCTATTTACCATCATGATAGCCATAATATTTATAGATAAAATATAATGGACATTTTTTCGATTATCATGCTAATTTTGTCACTATTTAACCATTGTCATTATTTAACCATTATTACGGAAAAATCGAGCCAATAAGAGCGGCGCAGTTTGATCTTCATGTAAAGTAAAACCATAGCATGTTTTGTTGCACATTTCTTTACCTATTTGGGTTAATTAGCATGTGATGTTATTTTCAATAGCGACCAATCGAGTAAAAACAAAATGAAATAACAGATAATAATTTTTAATTTTTGGTTCCATTATGAAAAATGCGAAAAATGCCGATTATTTTGATTATTTTAAAATTGATATGACGTAGAAAATATACTAGTATATATATATATATATATATATATATATATAAGTAATACTTCTGAAAACAAAGATATTATTGTAAAAATTTGATGCAATGTTTAACAGATAAAAATACGTATTTCTTGTATATTTATGTTTTTTTTTGTTTTGTATACTATATATATATATTAAAAAAAATGGTTCATTTATCAAAATTTTATAAAAAGGGTTCGGAATTTGCAATGAAAAAACTTGCGTAATTTATTTCGTTATTCGCAGTATATAATGTCTCATAAACAAAGTAGAACACATCCGTATATTCAAAAAATAAACCTTGATAATAGCAAAAGAATTAGAAGAAAACCTCAAAAACTTTGTTATAATTGTAAAGAAACAATTGATTGCGTCAAATTAGTTTCCAACAAAGTAAATAAGATTGAGGAAATTGTGAATAATTTTAAAAACATTAAAAAGAAGCCTGAAAAGCTTTCTAAATTTAATGCAAAATTTACCTTAAATAATGTTCCCTGCGAATTGGAATACGACCTATCAAGTTTTACTTTAGAAAATCTACAAAAACTTGTTGCTATTACTACACAATTTTACAATCCTAATTCTCCCTCAAACAATTCTCCCTCGAGCAATTCTCCCTCAAGCAATTCTCCCTCAAGCGATGATTTTTCTGAATCATCTAACTGAAAAATGAAATACGAAACTTTCTACTATTCTTTATCATTAGTATTCGACGAATTAATTATTGGCAAAATCTCGTCTCGTTACTTGTTTATTTCGTTTTATTTTTAAAAATAGCAAAATAACTTCAACCCTTACTCGTATTATTCGTATTATAGATATTTTTTTTTATTATTTGACATCGAAATTTTCGTAATTCTCAATCGGAAAAGCCCGATTAAATTAATTAATAATTAATAATCGTAACTTTTCAAATCGAATCATTTTTTATTATTTATGTGAATGTACACACTAATTTATAGATCATTGCGTCATTTGAGTAATGACCAATTCGGAATTTTTCTCCGTATCTTTATTAATTAATAGAACTTTTTCCGTAGTAGTGCAAACATCTTATAATAACAATAAAAACTTTTCGGACATTTCCATATGCGCGGTTCTTATCATGTTTAATATTTTATTTCTAAATCATACGTCTCGTTTCTTCTTTACCTAAAAAGGCAGTAAAAAATGATTGTGTGGAATTTATGGTTAAAAAAAAAATATTTTTTTAACGTCAGTTTCACGAGTCTTACGTATTACCAAATAATAATTTTTTTGCTTCGGACTTACAGTACATATATACATGGTCGATACATACTCTATCCACTATAAGCGGTAATTCAGTAGAGCAAAATTATGATAAATAATATTGTCCACGGATCTTATCAATCAATCATCTGCAGAAGCGCTTTCCGACAGAAAAAGATAAGAAAATATTATAAATCCTTTGATACCGATAAGAAAACATGTCCGACTGAATTAATAAATTAACTCGATATGTATTACTAGAATTGTATGTTTTTTATTACATAGTTAGTTATGGTTATTATTACTAATTAATTATTTGTAATATTAAAAATAATTATTTATAAAGCAAGAATTTTTTTATTTGTAATGCTACGCTTTGTCGAATGTTTGACACAAATTTAAATGAATTTGAAATTTATTTAAAAAATTGTTTATATTTTATTGAATATAAAAAACCATGAAATTTTTCTTGTCCATATTTAGTTTTAAACGTAAAGTAGTTTTTTTTTTGTAAAATTGATTATTAAAAAAAAAATGCCGATCATTTCTAGAAAGATCTAGTGCTAAAATTTAAATATTCATTATAAAATGGTGTATAAAGTAATCATAGTATGACGTATAACAAACTAATATGATACCATAAAACGCTTTAAGGATAGAGTGGAATATACCGAGGATTTACCTGAGGGTGTTTCTTATATATACATATATATATATATATATGTTGTATTTTATATATATATATTGATATATATATATATATGTTGTATTTTATATATATATATTATTATATATGTCGTATAAGAAACTAAAAAGTAAATCTTTATTGAATTACTACTGTAATTATTAATCAAAAAAAACCAGCGATTCGGAATTAATGAATAATATCGAGTAAAAAACAGAATGTGTAGAATAATCAAAGTCATATAATTACAATACCTTTGTCAAAAAAAAAAGAAAATTGAAATAATAACGCATAACGTTGTGGATTTCTATCTTCCTTTCATCTCTTAAACAAATTTTGATAAAAAATTTGTATGACATAATTATGTTTAGTAAATTATATCCTGTAAAACTAACCTTATTTAGAAATCACCCCATTTTTTTAATTTATTATTTTCGTAATTACAAAATAAAAAAGGGAATCGTTTCCTATTTTTGATTTCTCACCTCCTTTTTTAAGAAAAAAAAAAAAGTTTGTTCAATAAATTTAATTAATTTTAATTTAAAGATACGATCAACTTAGCGAGTAGTAAATTCATTATTTTTGATTGGTTCAGTATCCGAACAATATTAACAATACTTAGTTAAAATAAGGGTTTAAAGATATGTAGTGCTCATGTTTTCATATGGACCTTTAATTGTCAAAAAAGTATTAAATGGATCCTATCAAAAAAAAAAAAAGATTATCAAATTATGTATTTCATACATCTTGTATAAAAGTGGTTTCTATTATGAACTGTAGCATTAGATCATGTTTCAGTTTAATTATCATAAAATCTCCTTTTAATAAATATCTATTGTTAACTATTATTATCTAATTTTATAATACTATAAAAATTTTTTAAATAAAAATGGAGGTCGTCTAAAGCAGGGGCAAATCACGTGACTTCGAAAAAAATTGTTTTCATAAAATAAAACTTTTTACCATATATTCAACCATTCTAAACACACATCCTAAATGCATTTTTGCCTGCTCTGCAAGTTTACTTAGAGCGCAGAGTAGGGTTTTGAATGCTGTTTTTGATTTATTTGACTTTTTCAATTTCGTTATCCATTTTTGGATATGATCGGCAAAGTTTCGTTCATTCATATGTAAAGTCAAAAACAATATTCATAATCCACTTTTTTTCCTTAAGTAAACTTGCAAAGCAGATAAAAATACGCTTATATTATGATTTTAAAGTTTCTATTAATCTTTCTTTATAAAAAATTAATCTAATTAAAATTACACCGAATCACGTGATTTGCCCCCGCTTTAGACGACCTCTAAAAATGGCATGTTCTCTTTCCTAATTTAGAAAAGAAAAAAAAAAAAATTTTTTTTGTACATTTTTTTTCATCATCAAGACCCCAATCATAGATTATTATTCGATTTTTTATTGTGTAAAAAATTTTGAGTAAAATTCCGATAAATGATTTTCATTCCGAAAAAGCTCCGATATGTGATCAATTTTCTAAAAAAATTCTATAGGAGATATTTTAATGACGCACTACATTTAAATAGTACTACTATAAAGTGTACACTATCACTATCAGAATTAAATGTAAAATTCCATGGCTTGACCTTTAATGCAGTTAATTTACGTATTATTATGCGGATCCTTTTATTGGGGATGCATTTAATTAATGGAGACCGTTGTTAAATCCGGAGTGAATTATTCATTGACCAAGTGATGACATCAATCCAGTATCAAAACCAATCATGTATCGACTCATTAGTTGAGCGGGAGGACAAAACCCGATACGCGTAGTATATAGTCACATAAAAAACATTGTTAATAACACTCCTAAAATTTATTTTTAAAATTTCTCTTTAATTGCCAGTTGTGAGAATTATGTCCAGACTGACTGATGGCAATAATACATTTTCTACACTTGCATATCTTGTAATTGGACCTAAAATAAGGCCCCAAATTACTATTAAATGTATGTGAATAATGTGATCACATGTGTACAATTTTCGTAAGTCAAACAAATGATGTACTTTATCTATCGAAAATACTCTAAAAAAAAAAATTAATAGTAACTGTCACGTCAAACTCGTCTTCACCCATCTCTCTTAAAGGTAAATTATTAGTCCGGAGCGAAAGCGAAGGGCTATATCCTATTCGTGTCGGTTTCACAAATACTCGTTGTCCGCCTGAGTCGATGTCATCCATTCGTATTAGTTGGTTCTTTCGGTTACATTGTTTATGCATGTGATAAAAATAGAACAAAAATTGTGATTACGATATACCGCTTATTTTTAGTAATCAGAAAACAATACTTTTTGTTTCAATTTTCTATTTATTCAAAAAATAAGAAAAATAAACAAACTGTAACGAAATAAATGTAATATAATATAATTTTTGTTTAATCCGAATTTTATAATGACGAAACATCCTTTATTTTTTTTGATGTATATTCTTTTGGGTATTGCTAAATATCACCAGTAGTGATTGTCACTACACGCAAAATATTTTTTAAAATTTTTGACTGAGATATTGTTTAGATAGTTTTTGAGAAAAACTGGAAAGTTTGATTTTATAAGTAAATACAATTTTTTGTTTTAAAAAAGATTTTTTTTAGTCGAATTTTCAAAATTTTAGTGTGATTAGTATCTACTCAGGTTTTTTTACACATTTATTGTTTAAATTTGAAATTTTTGAAAAAAAAATTATGATGGTTTTTTTTTAACTCTGGCCAAAATTATAATTTTCGGCCAGAATTAAGTGGTGTGGTGATGATCACCACTGGTGATATTTAGCAATACCCTATTCTTTTTATTCGAATTACCCGTGTTTAATTAAGTTTAATTAAGTTAATGATTTCGCTTTCACTCCGGACTCCCAACGGTTATTATCGTTCCCTAGTATAGAATATACCCGATTAATATTTTTCAAAATTATAATAAATTTTAAGGCAGTATGAACCACTCTACAGCTTCAAGTATTCTCACGCCTCCAAAACTATAGATTCAAGGCTTATAAAGTAAGTTAATTCAAATAGGAACATTAAAAAATGATGGATATTGCAAATAACAATTTAATATTTTAACTTTATAAAATAAATTTTAACGCCTGTAGCAGTCTTGACTTAAGAAGCAAGCTTCATATTTAACTGAAATATTTTCAAATCAGCTTAAAAAAATTGTTTATTTTTTAGTATAACTAATAAAAAAAGGTCAATAATTAATTACCATGTTGTTTCTATCATATAATTATCCAGGATTTAATACTTATTAGAAGAGAGTTTCTTATATCTTTCCTATAATTTTTATGAGATTAATTTAAATATTATATTTGTGGTCTCAACTATATGGCGGAATCATTGCTTGAAATTGTGAAATTGCGTAGTAATAACAAATTTATGTATATTTTTTTAAAATAAAATTTGATACATATTTATACATATTTATATGAGAAATTATAAAAAGTAAATTTTGCATTAAATCTAAAACCTCATAAATATGATTGCATTGAAAGTGCTAAATCAGATTATATACTATTTAAAAAAAATCTTAAATTTACTCATCCTATCATACTATTTGTACAATAAATACAAGTTGCATATTTAGTAGCTAAAACATTAAAGTATGAACATTTAAAAAAAAAATCATATAAATTATATCATAATTTGTAAATTTCATAATGTATCTGAATAAAAATATATAGACCATATAAAAATACTAGTGAATTATACTATAATACTGTGTTTGTGATGAAATAAAATTAAAAACATAAATTTTCACGAATATTTTCCAGCATCGAGACGAAGTTTTCTAAAAAAAATAATTTACGGCATGAAAAACATATTTTATCAGCGAAACAATGAAGAGGAGGATACTGAACATCCAGTAGGTAATATTAAAGATTCGAAATTGTTGTTATCATAAAAACTCGTTCCGTTAAAGAAATCATTTTCAATGGGATTATTTGTAATTTGTGGCGTGGTCATTCGGGCGATTCGGTCAATAGTGGTAGAGTTATTTATCGGTCGAATTTGTGCAACGCGATTTTGGTTTGTATCGATATTATTCACATTATTTGTCATATTAACAAATCGGGACGTCCTGCGTTGTCCATTATTTCTTGATGACATTGGAAGATTTTTTTTATTTTGCGATATTTGTGTAAAAATTGATGGAAATTTTGTTTTTACTGAAGGAATTTTCAGAGCATTTTATAAGGAAAAATCTCACATATTATCAAGTTTTGCAGATATTGATTACAAGATAAATTAATAAAAAAAAGTTAAGCCACACATATTGCATTCATCCTTTATTTTTATTAAATCCCTTTATTATTGAACGAGTTATTCTTTTAATCAAGTATTCAATATTATCAAAATTTCTGTAGAAAAACTAACAATTTTTTTTTATCAGTCGTATTAATTTAACTAAATTCGGATTTAGGTTTATCTGTAACATTCTCACACACAAAGCATTGTTTTACGTTCTATCATTCTTCAATTCTAAAATAAGAATAAGGCACACAAACTTGCGTGAAATATTCAAATGTAAAATATTCTCCATGTTTAGATTTGGTTAGTTGGATTTCGATATACTTACTGTATTTCAAAGATATTATTTACTTCCGCTATTCCGATATCAAGATTTTTTTTTTTATTACAGGAGCAGATTAAATGACAACTTTAGCCTGTTTTACAAACCGGTTTTAATAGGACCACCAGGCTTGAGCCTCCTGGACATTTTCCTGACATTTTCTGGACAATTCTTTTTTTATAGGGGCGCGCGAGGTAAGCTCATAATAACAAACCGTTAATTCAGTCTTAATTCATATTTACGGGTATCTCGATTATTTTTGAAAATTTTTTATCAACTTGAACTTGAAAGAAACATACCAAGTGAGAATTTATTTTCATAATTAATATCACTGTCATCATTATTCGACCGTGTATTATGTGTATCATTAGTAATAAAGAACAATAATTTAAACATTTACCGGTTTTATAAAACGCTTATTATTTTACAACAGATTTTGATAATGTTTCAAAGATGGTTTAATGATTATTATGCGATGTTTTCGATTTTCTTTTTTAAAATAAAGCAAATTAATTGAAGTCCTGCTTCTAAAAATACCTCTACAAACGTTGCGTGATGAAAAGTAATAAGTAGTTTTAGACATTACATAAAAAATTTCGAGATGAAAGAATCATGGATGATCGATCGTTCTGATAACGTGATATTTGTCTTAATATGGTTTCATATATATAGCAAACTGTTAGATATTTATCTAGAAAAAGATTTTGGACATGTGAAATCATTTAAACCACTTTACATTCAGTTAGGTTGATTTATTATGAATATACCTTATCTTAACGTTAAATGTAATCCGTTTCATAAACAAGAAAAGTGTTTTCATATTGTTGATGAACATTTTTCTTTGCGAGTACTTAACCTAAAAGTTTAATCCATACAATAGATTTGGGATACGATTTTATTCAAATAAAAAAAAAATTGTATGTTTAATATCTAAATACATTATTAAATATGATATTGGTTATAAGCCAACTATTTTTTTTTTTTTATACATACTATACCTTTTTATATGGATAATCCGGGCCTTACAGATGGTATCAGCCAGAAATCCGGAATGTAATCTAGACCGAGGATAGAAAAAAGGGATCATATTTTAGTATATAACGCCGGCAAAGAGTATTATAATGCCAGTCAACTTCATAATGTATTTAAAGCGCTTATTTTCGGGTAAATTACCGAAGCTAATATTAAATGATAAATCATTCCGTCTTTAGATAAGAATGAGCTTAGCATATTGTTTTTGGTTGCAACAGAACATGGGAGCATGTGTTATCAAAAGTGGCATTTCAACGGACTAGAAATTGGAACAGGTTAAGATTAATCTTAACCTGTTAATTACTGGGATAACTAATGCAGGTTGTAATAGTGATGATCATGTGTTATTAACATTTTTTATTTATGATTTGATTATTAACATCAGAAAATCTAATATTTTGATATGACGATAATGAACCTTAAAAAATTCATCTGAAAGTAATCATCATCATCATTATCTATATTAAAAGAATATATAAATATTCTTCTCAAAAAATTGAATTCTAAGTTTTCGTATCATCTCTGAATTCATTTTACTTTGCATAACGCAAGATCCGTTGATAAAAAAACCAGGCTAATATTTTTTTTTTTAGGATCAAAAAGTATAAAATAATATTACTCGAGATACGAAGATATAAGTTGTGTTTATTTATTTAAGTTGGTGTCTCCACGAGAGAAAACTCCAATTATGGCATTTGTGTTCCATTTATGGATAATGTACGAAAAAAAATATACTGTGTAATTTGCTGTTAATGAAAGAACTTTATAATCCGACTCGCTAGGTTTGAATAAGTGTAAAAACGCTCAATAAAAGGGTATGGTTAAATTCACTGACAATCACTTCGCCGACAAACGTTTCACCGATAGTCATTTAACTGACGGTTCATCTTGCCAGTGTCAAAGCTATTTTTAAAGTAACTAATTTAGTTTTTTTCTCATCTAAAATAATAAAAATGGTAAATAAAAAAACTTGGGGCTATGTACTCGTACATATTAATAATTACTAACATGCGATAATAAAAAATTTGAGGCTTACTGTACATATTTACTAAATTAGGATTATTATAGATAATGATCGGCGCGCCAACACTGTGGCAAAGCGCCTAATTTCAATATGCGGCTTTTTATCAAGCCGAAGCGGATAAATCTGCGCCTATTTTCAACAAAATTACCGCTTGTTTAACATTTTGTTGGTAATACGATACAGGAAAAGGCAATAAACAGGAAACGGGAACCGTTGTAAGTCCGCACAGTAAATAGTTTTTGTATAAATTTATACCAATCGGGCTCATTGGCTCGAAATTAGCTTAAATTTATGCAAAAAAATAATCCAAATTTAAGCCAATCTAGACATTTGGTACAAACTTATACAAAAAACTATTTACTGGGCCGGAGCGAAAAACTAAAATTTGCGATCTCATTGGTGACTATCACGTGACGGACAGAGAAATTCACGTGATCGATTTTTTGTGCGTAGACATACAGTCAAACCTTTATATAACGATATGTTGGGACATATATAAAATTTTTAGAAAATATCGTTATATCAAAGTTATGCCGATATTTATATGTCCTCACATATAGTGGGAAAATAAAATTTTATCGGTATATCGAGGTTAGACTGTATATTGTCCTTCGCTTCGCTCCGGATAAAAATTTGATGTATAGTAAATTAAACGCTTATATTATAATTATATGCTAATTAAATGCTAAAAGTCGCATAATAGGAGTGAAATAAGCGGTTATCATGTTGAAATAGGTGCAGATTTGTCTGCTCTGGCTTGCCATAAAAAAGTCGACCCGTGTTTTATATTCCATTTTTTTCCCCATAAAAAGCTCATATTTCCAGAATTAATTTACATTTTCGGAGTCTTACTTGCCAAGTTTATTAATTGGCTATAATTTGTTAAAATTAATAAAAAGGAAATCCGTTTGAAAAATTGAGTAATTAATAAAACACTTGTACTTTGCTGTGGAATGTTCGCGATAAGCCTCGATGTGTTTACATTATTAATGGGTATGTTAGGTCGAAAATGTCTTCTTACAATTCATTGTCTTTTTAGTTGTTTCTGTCTTTTTAAGAAGGCATTTTCATTTGTATAACGTATTTTAAAAAATAATATGCGTATATTAGGAGGACGCGTTAAAATCGGGACATTGCTTAATTGTTTTTGCCCTGTTATTTAGACGACTGTGTATTAAAATTTTTTGTAAAAGAAATAATTTAACCTATTGGCGTTCATGAAAGTAAACCTTGGTCACATTTATACAAAATTATGCAAGTTTAATCAACCAATATGAATACCATCTTTGATTATATTACACAAAACAAATCGTGCCTTTATCCTTTCTTTTTTTTTCGAAATTAATAAATGAAATTTTATCTCTAGTTAGAAAGTGAAATCTTTTATAGTGAATATTCGGTAGTTTATGAAAATTATACACTTGTTTCAATAAAAAAAAAATCAAACGATATATACAAAAAGACGTACGATAAATATGTGTAATACATTCCTCCTCAATATGGCTGTGTTTTTTTTATCGCTCACTCTAGTATCTTATCTATGTTTTTACTACTTAACAATTAACCGTAATTGAAATTAAAAAAAAATGCTAATATCTCGACAAAAATAATCGTGACAGAAAATAACACTATTTTGCTTATATGAAACTAAATAAAATATCCGATATTAAAAAAAATAAGAAGTTCGTTTTACATAATTATAAATTTTTTAATAAACTTATTGTTATATATAGAATAAACCTTAAAAAAATTCCGTAATCTTATAAGAAAAGCTTATATATAATCTTTCGTATGTGTGTGTTTGTGATAAACTGATAGTACGTTAAAGAAAAGTATTTAAATGAAGAGAAAACCGGTCATATTCAGGTATGATTTTTTGCGTTAATTTTCTTTGATAGTTTCATCATTTTTGTCGGAAGCGATAGAAGGAGGGATCATGAAATTTGCCAGTTTTTGTAAATTTTCGAGAGTAAATTGTGATAAATCATATTCCACCTCACACGGTATATTGTTAAGTTTAAATTTCGCATTAAATTTGGAAATTTTATCGACTTCTCTCTTTGGGAGATTTTTGAATTTATCGATAATTTTTTCGAATTTACTTACTTTATCAGAAAAAGTTTTAACACAATTACTCGTATCTTTACAATCCGGACAAAGTTTAGGAGGTCTTTTCCTAACTCTCTTGCTATTATTTAGTTTTATTTTTTGAACGTATTGCGATTTCAGTTCATTTTGATTTGAACGTTTTGACGACATTGCAAAATAAAATAACGGTTCATTTTAATTACATACTCTATAAATGTAAAACTTCGTGAATAGATACATTTACGGAAATAACATGGAATAAAAAAAACCCGGAATAAATTCTTTATGGGGCCAAATTAATGAAATAAAATAATTCCCAATTATGAAATAAATGAACTAATTAAGTTATATAATTCCTTTGTAATTTAATTACCAATTAAATGACTGTCTAGTTCAAAACCTACCTAAATATAGTCGTTATTTCGTTTTTTTTCTTTATTTTCATTATTTACACAATATCCGATGAGTTTACATTTCATAAGCGTTAAAGTATAATCAATCGACTAATTCAAGAACAAATAATAATTTACTTATTATTAAATAAATGAATGTAATACCTTGGGTAAATATATATATATATAAGACTTTTTGAAACAGCTTATTATCTTACTTTTTTTGGACACAATAGATAATATAGATAATAAGTAATAAATTATTTGGATGGTATTAAAAAAGGGTCTAATTTAAAAAAGCGAAACAATACTTTTAGTATTCTTGGAAAGTATTAGTATTTTGTATTTCTATTATTGAAATAATAAGATGCCATATTTTTTTGAATCAATGTTTTGGTGTACAATTTGACTAATATATCTACATAGATCCTTTCAATTATATTTTTTCTGTAATACAAGTTGATTTGGTTATTTATATTATATACATGAACAAAAAGAACATATAATTAAATAATATCTTGTATTCCAAACTCAATCATATCTAATACATTCCTATTGTCATATTTAGGTTCGGTTATGAATTTTTCCCTCGGACATGATAGAATTTAGAATATAATATGCCGAATCTTCACTGCGCGTTACATTTTATACGGACGCGTTGCACACGTTTATATATATATAATGGATTTGATCGCAAAATGAATACTTATTACTCTTCGGTTTAAGAGTGTAATACTCGGCTGTTTAGTATAAACAAATCGATATTCATTTTAAAAAGGGACTAGGTTCATTATATTACTAAATAGAAGATAAATTAGATAAATTTTAATATGTCGAAGTTTTATGAGATTTTGAAATTATTTTTGATTTGTAATTTTATTATGGAACTTCTGGAACTCCAAAGACTCTGGATTAAGGACATTGGCTGATTGGCTTAAAAAATTTTTTTTTACTATTCTTTGTAATTATTTGGATACAAAGAAAATAAATCAAGTGCTGTTTCATCCGTGCATGATTGTTTTTTACAATAGGAATTTTGTTTGTTTTTTATACAACGACCAACCAAAAAGTGCTCTCATTCATCGCATTTACTAGGAATTAAGGCTAAATAAGGATTGTTAATATATAGAACACGTAGAAATCAATCATTCCAAATTAATCGACAAGTGATTTAAATTTATCTTGTTTTACATTAATGGGCATGATCATCATTTAGGGTAGGGTTTTTTTATTTATAAAAAAATTCATTAGCAAAATTTAGAAATAAACAATTCATAACACATTAAATTTTTCTTTGTTCCATTTTTTTTTAGTATTATACATACTGTACTATATATATATATATATTTTTTACATAATTATACAGTCAAAGGAACTTGATCGACAAATCGCAGTCAAAGACGTATGTATGAGTTTTAACGTTGAAAATTTTACGAATTTTTACAACTCAATCGAAATAAAAATGTTAACAGAATAATAACAAAATGATACTGTACTTTGCGGTATATAAGCACCCCTTTTTGCACTTAATGCCGGCAAAGATCTTCATAATCCTGGCCAAATTAGCCATAATTCCGGCCGGGGTGCTTAATTTTGGGGTGCTTACTAACAGCAAAATACGGTAATAATTTATCCGACATAAAGATTGTTTATTAAACTTTTACTGATTTATGCATTCATAATAAATCTGGTTTTTCATGCATGGAAAATAAAATAAAATAAAATAAAATAATAATGTGTGCTTTTGACATTATTATTATTGGTTTATACAAAAAAAAGAAAAAATTTTTAACAAAGTTTTTTTACTCGGGCAATTGTCGAATCCAATCAACTGTGCCGCAGTTCTTTGTTTGGTAATTTGTTATCTTTTCCGAAAAATTAAAAATTTCACCATTATACACCATGCTAATTAAATAGTACTATCACTTCGTAGAGAAATAAAATAATTTTCGGCCTCATTAAATCAAATAATTAACTAAGTGATTTATGCATGAACTTATTCTCTTATTTTTATTAGATTAATACCATTATGTGCATCAAAAACACCCTATATGTGCATATTACGTTAATAATTTTTGTGATAAACATTAGTTTTAGAAGCGATAAACGCCCAACTATGCTTTGCGGACGGAGGTTAAATTGATACGACTAATCAAGAAAAAATGATTAATATTCGGATACTCTCACGTTTTACAGTAAGATACTCATTATATGTGCGTATATATATTAGTTACTTATTAGAAGAATACTGTATTCGTTCAGGAATAGAAAAATGAGGGGCTAAACTATATTTAATTTAGGACACTTAAAGGGTAGCGAAATTCTTGTCACATTATTGCTACCAGAAAACTAGATAATAGTAAAGTATTTTCTTATAACAACCTTAAAAATTCCTTTGGAAAGGATTTTTAAGCATATTATATCCAAGCTTCATACAACAAAATTTCATCAAATAACACAAAAATACAAAGTCTTCCAATGTCATCAAGAAATTGTGGACAACGCGGAACATCACGATTTATTAACGATATAAACCGAAATAGCGTTTCACAAATTCAGTTAATAATTAATTCTAATACTATTGACCGAATCGCCCGAATAACTACGCCACAAATTTCAAATAATCCCATTGAAAATGACTTTTTTAATGGAACAAGTTTTTATGATAACAATAGTTTTGAACATCTAATTTTACCCTCTGGATTTCGATGATAACCTCTTCATTGTTTCGTTAATATAATTTTCATAGCATTTTCATACCGTAACTTTTTTTAAAAAAACTTCGTACTTTTATAATAAATTGCGTTTCTTTGTCGTAAAAAATTGGTTTTTTATTTCATCACAAACACAATAAATATTATAGTAGAATTTACAAGATAGTGGTCTTTAGAATATTTTATTATAATTTATAAGTTATCATATGTTTTTATATAATACTTTTTATATATTTGTCATTCAATGAACTTAGATTAGAGTAATTTTTAAGTTTTTTTTTTTTCTTGTTTGATTTTAATAAGATTTAAATTTATACTGTACATATTGAAATACGACATATAAGATTTATTTTAGAGTTCAATTATTACCACGTTATTTTGCAACCTCGACGAATAATATCCACACTTTAACGATGATCCTAAATCATCAAAACGAAATTAAAGTACAAAAATTTTCTATTGTATTTGTATTCGAATAATTTAAAATTATTCAACTAATTTCTTTTTTTAACTTGCTTTAATATTTACTTAGTTTGTAAATAAAAATAGTTGCAAAAGTTTTTTTTTTTAAAGCATATTTAGGGATATTATCGTTTTAAATTTATGTTTTGTACTATGAACAATGCAAATTGTTATTGGCCTTTTTCTATCGAATGAGAAAGTTTCAATTAATAAACTTAATAAAAATTATAAAATTATTATACAGTTGAAAAATCCGTATTTAATATCTGAAAAGTGAATAGTAAATAGTTATCAACCTTTTAAAGAACGTGTAAAATCTGTATCTATTTATCATAAAAATGGTCTCCGGTAACTAATATGGAATATAACTTAAGGGTATTTATATAATAATACGTTCAATAAAGTTACAATAGTTTTCACGCGGATTTAAAATAGAATTATACGCTGAATTTCGAATGGTTATTCGTAATTTGTAACCGTAATCGATTGAATTAGCAATTAGTGATTTTTTTTATTTCACTTATAATACTAAAAACATTTACACATTACCCTTTCTAATAAATCCATCCGCAGCAGTATATTATATCACGTATAAAACACAAGAAATTTATTTCGTGAATAACTAAAACAAATTTAAAATGATAATATTTCTAATGAAGGAGATAAGTTAGTGACTAGTGACTCTGCAAGTCAAAATAACATAAGTTCGACAAAGGTTTTCTTGTAATAAAAAAATAAGTGTACTAAATAAGGTGAAGTAAAGTCTTCATTCCCGATAAAAAATTTTTCAGACGTGTCTGGGTTTCTTCGGAAAAAAAACTAGAAAAATCATTTTTCCCAGAATTTTTTTTATAGTGATTACGGTTATAGCCTTATAGGCATTTTAAGTCATATAAGCGAAACTGAAAATATTAAAACGAAGACTGTATTTAATGATAATGTCAGTCAGCATTAAAAGACAATATCTAAAAAAAGGAAAGTCTATATCAATCCCCGCGTTACCCCCTAATTTTTTTTTATTATGATAGTCCATATTAAAAATTATGGCGTAGTATAATTATTAAATATAGAGCTTATATATTGGCTAAAACTATTAGTTTTTTTAGCATAAATTAATGATTTCCGAATTCATAATTCTGGCCTAAATTTTCTTAATTCTGGCCAAAATCGTATTTCCGGCCTAAATTTGATTAAAATTGAAAAATGTAGGTCAAATGTAACATGCATTTATGCAATATAACATTTTTAACTGTTATTATTCAAAATGTTTTTAAGAATTTAATGAACATTTTAATTAGTTTAAAAAGTTAAAAAATCGAGTAAATTCAAGTTGGATCTTGTTGCAAAAACCATTTATTTTTACTACTAAAATATCATTAAAAATAGAATATCTCGCCATCTAGTAATTATAAAAAGATGAATAATAGCTTGTTAGAATCGCCTTATCAAGGCAATTCTAATGGTGATAAAATCGCATTTCCATCATTTATAGATGACGTGTTAGCTTTATGAAGAAGAATAGATGAATATGTAATTCCTCGCCATGTAATGACGGTAAAAAGATGAATAATAGCTCATTAGAATCGTATTATCGAGGCGGTTCTAGTGCTGCTAAAATTGCATTTCTAACATCAATAGGTAACGAGTTAGTATTATTAAAATAAATTTTTATGTGGTGATTTCTCATTAACTATCGATCAGTGATGCCAAAAATATTATTTTAGTACCATTAGAATCACCTCAATAAGACGATTCTAATGAGCTATTATTTGCCCGTTACTATCATTAGATAGCGAGAAATTACATATTCTTTTTTAGAAAAATAACTTATTATCTATTTATGATAAAATTTTGATCTCATCACCATTAGAATCGCCTTGACAAGACGATTCTAACAAGCTATTATTCATCTTTTTATAATCACTAGATGGCAAGATATTCCATCTTTAATGATATTTTGTAAGTAAAAATCATGGATGGTTTTTGTGACTTGTTCCAACTTGAATTCATTTTGAATAATAATGGTTAAAGTGTTATATTACATAAATGCAATTTTATATTTGACCTACATTTTTTAATTTTAACTAAATTTAGGCCGGAATTACGATTTTGGCCAGAATTAAGAAAATCTTGGCCAGAATTATGAATTCGAAATCATTAATTTATGCAATTTATGCTTAAAAAATTAACTTTAGCCAAATTTGATCTACATATATAAGCACTTATATTTAATAATTATACTATGCCATAATTTTTAATATGGCTATTATAATAAAAAAAATTAGGGGTAACATTCGTGGCAATTGATATTGAGGTTATTTGAAGTTATAACAAAGCACGTGAAACATTTGTCCGATAGATGTTCAATAAATTAATTTGGTTACATAATAAATTAGTTCGCCTTACGTCATAATAACAAACAAAGACGTAATCGGTATTATTATTAGTTTATGAATTAGGCTTACCAATATTGTTAAAAATAACATTTTGATAATTTAGTAGGGTTCGTTCCCTGTTCTCTATTTTGGTACTTAATGATTCATTCTATAATTAGAACAAAGTATTTGCATCTGACTAATACTATGGGTTGTGTCTTATGCAGCATATGCTGTACAGTTTCTGTATTTACCAATGATTATAAATCAAAATATTCCGTAAAATTCAGTAAAATCCAGGAAAGCCTTATAAATTCCGTGAATATGCTACATTTACGAAAAACCTAAAAACCTGGAATTTAAAACGGTCAACTTTTTTTTTTTATATATATGAAAAATACAAAATTAAATTGTTAAATCGCGAAACTTTTACCAACTATAAATTTACTAACAAAATAAACAATTTAATTCTTTTGCCAATCATGGCGGCTAAACATATTTTAGCATTTAAATTTTAAATTATCCGATAACAATACTATTATTTCTTTTTTATTCAACTAAATAAAATTAAATCATGCATATGTGCATAATTATTATTGTTTACATTTTTATGAATGAATGTAAAGATTATGTCATAACACGAAACCTGCTGTTGCCATCCTATAAAAATGAAATGTGTTAAATTTGTGTCCATGTGTAAAAAACGTCCAAAAAAGCACCATTTTGTCCGTTATTACAAAAAAACAAAAATTAAACAAAATGGTGCTTTTTTAGACATTTATTACACATGAGCACAAATATTATTCAAATTTTACTCATTTCGTTTTTATAGGGTATACGATTAATAAATATACTTTTATTCAAAACGATTGAAATGATTGGAAAAATAATTTTGTAAAACGCTACACAATATTCTAGAACGATCTATACGTATTGAAAAGTTAAAAGTAAACGAACTAATGAGAAAGTTTTGTGTCAAATTAAATTGATGAAACCAAAAGTAAGATAGCTAGCAACAGAATACACTATTTTTATACACGGCATAAAATGTGTCAAATATGACATAAGAAATTATCATTTAAGCATATTACAGATTTTCATACAATAAATTCACATTATATGATATAAATAATCATTTATATTACTGTATTATGCATTGTGTGACAAATAGAGTTAAATGTAGTTTGGGAATTGAATTATAAATTCAATTGTATTCCAAATTAATGAATAATGTCAAAATTTTAATTTTATCATTTTACTCTTGTAAACCGAGCTATTTTCTGCGATTATATTTTGATTCCCGCGTATTACTAAACCGCGGATTCATTTTTGTAATCATATACTTTGTGAATGTCAAACAACGTTCTCTTGAGGATACACTTTTGACGAAATAGGCGATGAAAATAAACACGAATAAGAAACGCACCGACATTTGATTGGTTATATATGAAATCATTATACAAATTGCTTGATTTATAGGTAGCGTTCAAATTTAAAAAGATGAATTTCTAGTTATTCGTTCATGTATAAATAGGATAAACAATTCGATAGGGGGTAAATCCAATCAAACACAATTCAATCTGTGAATCACCCAATGTTTATTTGTTAGACATTATTAAAAAGATATTTTAAGTTTTTAGTCTTTTAATTAAGTGAAGCGCATCGTTTATCAAAGTTTGATATAAGGTTGTGGTAAATTGTGCATAATGTTTAACGGAACTAATTTATTAATTATTCAGCGACAAATTTGTATTCGTAATAAAATATAGTTTAAGTCTGTTTAAACTTAATAAACTAATTAAACAAACGCTATTAAAAACATTATGTAAAAAACTAGTAAATAATAAGTATACACTAAATCATCAATACTTGATACAAAATAATATTCATTCGTAACATAATTTTAATTTTCTGACAAAACATAAATGCTTAAAATTCCATTAAATAAAGAATTAAAAAATACATATTCAACATAATAAATTGAATTAAAACAATTAGTTTTTTGGTTTGCAATTTTGAGTTGTAAAAATTACCAACTTTTGTAAGTTTTCTAACGTAAAATTTGATAAATCATATTCCATTTCACAAGGAACATTATTTAAAGAGAACTTCGCATTGAATACGGAAAGTTTGTTTTCGGTTTTATTTTTTGGAAGATTCTTAAAATTATCAACAATTTCTTCGATTCTGCTTACTTTACTAGAAAGTAACTTAATATAATCGTTTGTTTCTTCACAATCCGAACATAGCTTTGAAGGTTTCCTTCTAGTTCTCTTGTTATTATTTAACTTAATCTTTTGAACGTATGGCTTGCCACATGTTCTTGATCCATAATTTTTTGATGACATTTGAACGAAAGTCTTAAAATAAAGTTTGTGAGTTACTTTTTTTCTTTTTTTCTTTTTTTATTACGTGTTGACGAGAAATACGGTGTTTGATATCTCTTTATATTTTTAAGATTGTGGCTATGATTACCAAATTTGGCAATATCATGGTCACACTTGCACGTACAATTCTTGTAGAGCTCAAGGTTACTATACTTTTTTATTATTTGGTAAAATTGAATTTATTGGTTCATTATTAATCCGCGGATTATCCGCGACACAAAAATCATGTGGAAAAACTCGATTCCGATCCGATTCATCCGCGAGAAGCCCTATAAAAAATATTGTCCAAACATTGTTCGGTTGTTTGTTCGGAAAATCGACCTCGTTCAGAACATTTACTTGACATTTATTGGACATTCGTCATGATATTGTACGTTTTTTATGTGGTTAAAATTCTCAATCTCCGCATCTTGTATTAAATTGTAACAAATATTGTATAATAGCATGCGAGTGTCTGGAAAATTGGCCCCATTCCGAATATTTATCGGACACACATTTTTTATAGGGATCGATCCCGTACGTATAATTAAATTTAGTTTTAATTCAATTTGTTTACTCATGTAGAATAACGTTTCTGATAAAAGAGTCTCAGACCTTCCCATTTACCTCAAGAACCATTCGTTCCAGTAGAAGTTGTCCTTGAAAAAGAAAGAACGTCAATCTAGATCTCAATCCGTCCATGCACATGATGGATTACAGATATCCGAATTTGAACACTAGGATGGTAATTAAAACAACTTATAAAATTAATATTTTTTTATTTACCCGACTATGCCGTTCTTTTTCTTTTTTAAATAAATCTTTTTTCCCCGGACGGCCGGGCAAAATTAATAATAATTTTATTTATTTGCCTAATATAAAGTATAGAAATCCTCTACTCGGTTGTAAATCCGTCTTGGGCATTTTAGTCATTTATATAACGAAAATTTAATCGGTTGATTTAAATATTTGACGTTAACATTTTTAGATTAATTTCAAAAATAGCGAAAATGAAAAAATCGAATAAAGTCCGGATATACTTATTGCCTTAATCACGTGGAAATTTTGTGTAACTATGCTAAAAAACTAGATCCAAATTTTCTCGTCTTTGCACACTTATTCCTTATCCCCCCGAAAGCCCTCCTGATTCTGTAGCTTATATAATTGCAATAAAAAAACGTGGAGAGAGTCATGACACTCATTTTAAATTAATTTGGAAATCAATAATGATCACATGTTCCTTTATTTACAGTTTCAAGTTAATAAGTAAATAAAATTTTATAAATCAATTGCTTCAAAAGTAAAACAGGTAAAGATTTGTAATAATAAATTGCTGAAATAGGCGATTTGTTATTATATTTGATAATATTTTGGTAACAAAAGTTTTGTTTAACCCCAATAAAAATTTTAATGACAAAGAAATTTTCATCAAATAAATCAAGCGGTAAAATGAAATTACCTGACTATTCAACAAAAACCATACATTTAAAAAGTAATTCCGGTTTTGACTCATGCTAAATATTGATCATTTAGTTACTAGATCAGCATCAACTGCTATTGTTAACGAATCAAAAATTCAGTCTGGTTATTAATCCGATATCCTTGAGTTATAATTCAGTCATTAGAAATACTGCAGTGGCCAATAGGGATTAATGCTATTAATACTGATTTCAATATTGGATGTCTTATAAAAATATCGGTCATTAAAATCCGTCATACAATGATACAATCTTACGTTTTGGCGGAATATTCTATAAATAAAAATTCATTGATTTTTAATTATCAATAAATACATCAAATAATCCAATGAAATTAAAAGAAAATAATTGTATTTATCATGCGGTATAACTTGATCATGTTTGAGTAACATTTAAACATGATGTTTCCTAGGCTGGAAAACAAATTTCGTATCAATTTTAATATGAATTTTAGAACATTAGATAATTAAAACCTCTTTGATTGTTAAAATTATAATTACATCATATGAATATGTAATCTCATAATTCAGGCCAAATTTATTTATCACGTGTAATTAATAATGAACCCATTATTTAAGATTTTTTTTTAACATGTGCGCAAATAAACTATTGATATCAATATTGTACGCAAATAAACTACTAATATCAATATAGTACGATAATGAAAACATCGGTCAAAATAAGTGAAATAACCACAAATCAAAAGTAATCATTTCTTTAGTGAACAAATTTCTATGAAGACAATAATTTCGAATCTTTAATTTTGCCTTCAACATATTTATTAAATTATAATATATGTTTTTGTTACCGTAACGCAACTGAAGGCCCGCAGCATGCATGTGATTTACGCAGTCGCACGCAGGTCTGTAATGCAAATGTGTGACAGGTTACGCCAATTATATTGAAAATAAATTAGGAAATGAACGGTAATTTGGAGATGTATTAATAAAATATTGATACCGTATACATCCGAAATTAAGCACCCTTTTTTGACCGTAATGCTGGCCAGGAACAGCATAACGTAGGCCAAAATTTTCATAATTCTGGCCAGGGTGCTTATTTTCGGGGCTTAATATCGGATGTATACGGTAATAAAATATTGATATAAAAAACTTTAAAATAATGATACAGCAGAAAGAAAAAAGATTTGCTGAAATTAAAAAAATTTTTTTTTTTAAAAAAAAAATGAATGAATGATTATTATTTGTTGCAAAGAACAAATATTTTTAGAGGTTCAAAAAGGAAATAACACGATTTTAGGAAGATTATTCAAAAAAGGAAAAAGTGGTGATTTTTATTGAAGGACGTTTTGCAAGGGATAAACAAAATTTATAATTTCGTATCCAGAAATATTCCTCCGCTTTCTGTTTAATAAACTAATAAGTACAATTATAATTTTAATTAGATTTAAATTAATGCAAAATTTACTCTTAATAATGGTTCATGTTTTATATGTTTATTAGCGCCTATAAAAAAGGTTTGTACTAAATTTGTGCCAAACGGGCCAATCATACAACTCTTATTCAAAATTTGTACTAAAAAATAATATAAAATTCGAACAAATTCTAAACAAATACCGTATGATTAAACGAATTTAGCATAAACTTTTTTTATAGGGATAGAAATCAACTCATATTTCACCAGAAAATTTACATCATTATTTGCAACCTTATAGATATCCGTGCATCAAAGTCAAGATTAGATTTTTATTTCTAGGATAGATTTTTATTTTGATTTTGGAATTTTGATTCCGAAATCTTAAAAGACACTTGGCAAGTTCCTCTATTATGCATTGACTTATTGAACAATTGCCTTTTTTAACTAATTACAGTATATATAAAACGGATTCTAATTATAATAGTGTTTATTTGTAATATTCCAAAGAGGCCGAATCGGGTCTGTTCTGTGAGACATGCTCGAACTCGACCAGAGCTAAACTTGGTTGATCATGGTTTGACTCGAATAACCCGAATCGACCCGTCAAATTGTATTTAAAGAAATTTTTTCAAAGCAAAGGGATGGCCGAATCGACAGGTTGAGTCGAGTTCATACGTGTTACGAGCCATTAAATTATGGGACCAAATCCAATTAGAGGCTCGAGTTGGGTCAATCTTGCAGAGCACTATGAATGAGAGCATGAATTTTTAATTTGTTATTCAGTACAAAATAAATGATTTAGTACTAATATTTAAAAATCATTCATTTATAAGAACGAACGTACAAATGATAAGCAATCATATGATCAAACTAAATGCCGATTTATTATAATTGTTAAAAGCTATTTGAAATTACCACGAGGTGATCATTGATCACGAGTAGAAATAAATCTTTCCTTACGCGTAATCTACCCCAATTGTTGTACCATATATACCTTTCATTGTAATACTTAATAATTTACAATAATAGTTGTACTTTTTTTTTATTTATGAAGATTGAAAATCCACTCTCAAATTTTGGTCTTATTATCGGGGGAAAATGTTTAAAATAATGATCAATATGGATTGATTAACTTTTATAATTTCCAAAGAATATGATTTGTCATCGGACAAGGAATTGCGAAATATAAAATGCGGTTGGAAATCTTACATTCGTTATTTATTTATTTTTTATATGTTACAGGATTTTTAATAAAAATTCTACTTGAATAAAACATTTTATTTCTCTTTTAAATGTCATCAAACAATTGTGAATCAAGTAAATACACTCAAAAGTTTGATCTATGTAATATTAATAATAGAAGGAAAACTCCGAAATTTTGTCCCGATTGTAAAGAAACAGATGATAGTATTAAGTTACTTACTAGTAAAATGAGCAAGATTGAAGAGATTATTGATGGTTTTAAAAATTGTCAAAAGAAAAAAATAGGAAATTTTTCAACGTTCAATGCAAAATTTACATTAAATGATGTACCTTGTGAACTAGAGTATGATTTATCAAGCTTTACTTTAGAAAATTTACAAAAATTAGTAATCTTTACAACTAAAAATCGCACATCCATTAAAAATTAACGTATTTCAGAGTTAAAAAGCTCTATGAAAAAGTGTTTTTTTATTCCTAAATGTTTAGTATTAATTTGTCTTCTCTAATTTTTATATATCTTTTGATAGGATTGACCAAACTGAATTTTAAGAGATTTATTTCATTTTCTTTATAAGATATACTTATGACTAATGTTAGATAACAAAAATTTAATGCGTTAAGCTTTTTATATACAATTTATTCGCGCGTCATTTATCATATAGTTCGTAGCAAAGTTTTAAATTATAAAGACATATATAGACATATATTTTAAGATACGAATTAATTATATGAATTATATGAGCTACAATTAGCAAGTTTATTAGTATGAATAAAAGGACAACCTTTTTTTAGCTAAAGTGCCTATATATTATATTGGACGATACAAAATTATACGATTTCGTAGATTAGAATATTCTTTAAGGAAATATCGGAATGATTTAGATTAACCAGTTTTACAGAATACACCAATATTATTAACGATTTAAAATATATGTTGTGTACAAATGGTCTCATTATATACTTTAAATGTAATATTAACAATATATTTGCGAATATTCGCAATCGACACAACATATACCATATCACACTAAATCTGTATTCCATTATTTTATTGGTCCGATTCTCTTCATTATACGTATTTAAAACATGTAGGACTAAATGCTGTAAAATATATACAGTAAGCATAATTTGTAACTATAAAACTTTTTTGATATTGAATTGCCAAATTTTTAAAGACGGGGAAAAAAAAGATTCAAATATTTAAATTAGCGAATCGGAGATAGTTTATCCAGTGTCATGTGATCAGAATATTATTTAAAAATCACATGATACCGGATAAATCACTTATTGAGCCGAATAACAATAAAATATCCACCCCACTCAGGTGCATATCAAAGGTTATATCATAACCACTTGTGACACAAATAGTAAGGTTATAACCTTTGATATGCACCTGAGTGGGGTGCAAATATCGGTCAATAAACCCGGATTCGTCAACGATCTGTTGATCACAAAAATATTATCAATAAACCCATAAAAGAATTATTCATTCTTGTATGAAACTCATTGACAATTAAAAATAAAATGAATGTCTAATTTTTTCTTGAAAATGAGTTGTCAAAATCTTCCTTTCATTCTGATTCCGATAAGAATAATCTTTTTATTTATCTGTTATCATCTGTCATATGAAATCACTTGTAAGTTACACCTCTGGTTCAAAACTAGGCTTTGTTTGGATTTTTATCATTACTCTTTTTTTTATGATGACAAATATATTATTCATTACAAAGTATTTGACGTAAATAAATGTAACATATTTTGATTATTTACACCCATTCACTTTAAAAATCACGTCAAAATAGGTAAAACTTCGGTGCGATAATTTTTATCAGATTAAATTACCTGTTATGAATATTTATTTAGCTGTCCTGCAAAAGTATCATTCTTGATAGACATGAGGTATTATTCTTGATAGACTTACTGTAAAATATATTATGCATATCAAGATTCTCCTGCATATTATCTATCAAGAATGATATTTTTGCAGCTGTCCTTGAAAAACGTCATTAATAATAAAAAAAAGGTCAACTGATATATAATTTAAAAAATTACTTGCAAATTCTAAAATTTTTTAATGGGATTCCTAATTATGAGTGCATAGAAAGACGGTATTTAGAATAATGAATTTTATTTTTATTTTACGAATACCTTATTTTGTCACACGTCTGAAACATGTTTGAAAGAAACGCAGTCATACTTCTCTTTAACGAATAAATTATTTTTGGCGAATATGCTTGCTGTATTATTGTATTTTATAGAAAAGTATTTAATTTTAAAAGTCATTACATCTTAAAATAGGTTCATTTGACGAGAAAGTCACGAATGAACATTCGGTGATACTAATCCGATGCGGTCTTAATTATTCGGGGAAACACATTTATTATATTGAAAATATAAGGGAACACATTTAAAAATATATTATATTGAAAATACAAGGGAATACATTTAAAAATATATTATATTGAAAATATAAGGGAACACATTTAAAATTTTATTATATTGAAAATATAAAGGAATACATTTAAAAATTTATTATATTGAAAATATCGGAAACTCTTACTGTATATAAAGCTCCGAAAAATTCTCTAGCGAGCTTTTAAATTCGATCCCTTACACATAATATTACTGTATTACATTTTATTAATTTATATCTTAATCATGTCAACAAAAAATTACAAACAAATAACACGCGGGAAGATAAATGCAAATGACATAAACAATGTAATTCCAATCCACGCTTCACGAATTTATTCGATAAATAATGCTGATACAATCGACCGAATAGCACGAATAATTGTACTGCAAATTACAAACATCCTTTCGAAAATGATTTCTTTAATGGGACAAGATTTCGGGAAAATAATACTTTAATTTTATCAGCTGATTCATCGTTTCCTTAAATCATATTTCATCAGTGTATAATCATTGATCGCTTAAATTTGTTCATAGTAATAATTAGTTCAGTCAATCGGCTTGCATTACTTCTATAAATTACTTTTAGTGTTACATATTCTTGCCAATTTTCTTTGGTTATTGGTTAAAAAAAAAATTTCTTTTTTATAATTTTTAAAATTTTTAAATTACAGAATTTTTAGAGGAATTAAAATAATTCTTTTATTAAAGAATATTGCATTTATATTATGTAATTAAAATTTTAATAATACAAATAAATAAATACGGCTCGAGCATCCTAATCGTATAAAATTTCCTTCTATTCTCTGTTATATCTATCCGTGTAACTTTAGCAAAAAATATATATTTGACTACCAATTTTAATTTTTAAAAATTTGTTTTCTAATATCCTTCAAATAAATCCCTTAAGGTGACCTGAAACATCTCTGTATTAATAGAGAATGCATATCACTTAGTCTTATTATAAAAAAAACTCAATAATATTCTAATTTGAAGAAATTTAATTCCCAAATATTTCAATTACCTGCATAATAATAGCCATGGTGGTAACTGTTAAGTCTATGCCGAATTTTTTTACTTCATAATTGGTCATAAGGATGTTCAGTTTGATCACTCACTATTTGACCAATCATAAACTACATAATAAAAATAAATATGCAACCTGTATCACTTGACACGTCACATTACTGAAAATCACGCTTTACTAATTCTTTTTTTGAATAAGAAAGTTTTTTTAAAAAATACCAAAAATTTTTTTCGCTAGCTGTGTCACTTTAATTAACGAGTAATCACATGACAAGTTTAATATTTTTTAATTTGATTAATTTGATTATTATCGCATATATTAAATGACAATTAGTACAATTATCCAATTTTTTAGCAAATATTAAGGGCTTAGCGCAAAACAATATTGTAAAAGACATAAAGTAATGCATAAATAATAGAAAATATGTTAGCACATTTAGAGTATATAATTCCTATTAATATAATATTATTGAAAACTGAGATTTATTAACGATAATATTAATAAGGAAGACGAAATTTGTTAATAAATTAAATCATCCTCAAGCTTTATTATCCCGTCGGAATTTATTTTTACGGTTACGACACGTGCCGTAACGCCGTAATAAAATGTCGTAAATTGTAAATGTCGCAATTTTACATGTAAATATCTAAAAGAAAGATAAAGAAACGAATTTAATATCATTTATTAACGGTAAATTTCAAGAAAGCCTCTTCCCACTTAGCTAAAGTATAGACACCTTAAAAAAAAAAGGAAAAATGTTGTGCGTCATGTGCACTATTAATTTTAATTTTTAGAAAAAAAAAGCCTTATCAGTTACCCATTTATGGCATATATATTTACGGCATTACATCATTAATTTTATTACGGTTACGGAATTATTTACGACATATATTGAAATACCGAAATGTCGAAATACCGTAATTAAGGGAATTTCGAAAATTATTCATATTTGAAATCAGAAGTACTAATTTATCATATAAAGGCTTAAGATCATTTAAAAAGTAATTTTACTATTTCCATGGTCTTTATTTGATCCTGAATTCGCATTTGTTGAATATATTTGTAATCCTATTCAATTTATTATATATATAACAAAATGATTTCCATTCTTAATTCCAATAATATTGCATTCTAAAAAATTATTTAACCCTTTAATTACCAAGACGAACTCAATTGGTAATTAGAAATCATTGTATGATCATCGACTGCTGATCGACTGCGTTGAGGCTGAAGTTGAATTAGTGTTTGTATTACGAATGACTTTAAAAAGTAACTTAAAGTGGAATTACTGAACACAAAAAAAAAAAAAAAAAAATTCTTTTTTTTTTTAAACAAACAAAATGTCTTGCCAACTTCTCGCCGATTGTCTTAACGAAATATTTGAGTATTTGGAAGACGACAAAGTCACTTTACATTCATGCTTACTAGTCAATCATCTTTGGTGTGAAATTTCTGTTAGAATTTTATGGAGGAATGTTTGGAGATTCAAGTCTACTTCTTCATTTCAATCGGATCAAGTATCATCAAAAATGTTTGATAATATAATCACCTGTCTTCCTGATGAATCAAAAGAAATTTTACATAAGAATGGTATATTTGTCTCAAAGTCAACTTCAAGACCTTCATTTTTTAATTATATATCATTCTGTAAAGTTCTTTCAGTTAATGAAATTGATCTCATAATTCAACACTTTCTCGAAATTCAACGACTAGGATTAACAAGAAGTTTACATTATTATAAATATTTAATTTTACACGAAATATTAAAAATGTATATGAAACAAGTTCCTTCTTTAAAAGCATTAAAATATTTATCAACAAAAAATATTTCCAACATTACTTTAACATATTTTCCTGAATCTATTGGTTGTTTGACGAATCTCTCAGTATTAAGTTGTGGATCAGATATTCATTCCGAATTTTTTTATCAATTATCCCAAATATGTTGTAATATTCGTTCATTAACTGTAGAATTTGAAGGAACAGTTTCAAATGGGTTAAAAGATCTGATCTCTTCACAACATAGATTAGAAAGTTTATCATTAATACAATCTTATAATAGTACAGATTGGAAAGAGCTTATACCTTCATTAAAAAAGCATTCAAACACTTTAATCAAATTAAAGATCAATGGAGGAGAAAATGATGGACCATTATCATTTATTACTAGATTCAAAAATTTACAAGAACTTACTTTATTTTTTGATTACAATGATGCTTTTGAAGATTTTAAAGAATTAAAATTTGTTAAATTTTCACAATTACAAATCTTAAAACTTTCTTTTGGATGTCCAACTGTTGATATCATGATCAAATTTTTTGAAAATAATGGAAAGAATTTAAAAGAATTTTGTACTTGTAATTATGATAATAGATTAAATTTAGCTATAGCAAGATTTTGTCCAAATTTGAAATCACTTTTTACCTTATTTTTGGATAATGAAATAGAAACATTAAAAGCAATTTTTAATAATTGTCAACAATTAGAAAGTATTAAAGTTTGGTGTGGTAATGGATATTTAAATGAATCTGAATTGTTTGAAGCTTTAGCAAATTATTCACCAAAAAATTTTAATGAATTGGAAATATATTTTATAGAAAGAGAAATACTTTCAGAAAATTTAGAAAAATTCTTTAATAATTGGAAAAATCGTATATCACAAAGATCATTATCTTTTATCATTCTAATAGAAGATAATGATACGACAAACATGATAAATAATGAAAATATGAAAATAATTGAGAAATATAAAAATTTGGGTATTATTAAGAAATTTGAAATTAGAGAATATAAGGATTATGAAATTTAATTAATTTTTATATATGATTTGATTTTTAATTGGAAATTTCTAAATTTTTAATAAATCCAATACAAACTGATTTATAGTTAATTATTATATAATATATATGCTTAAATTCTACCTAAATTCTTTTTAATAAGACACAATGATACTCAATGTATAATAATAATAGTATTTTGTTATTATTATTATTATTATTATTCAATGTATTATTCAATGTAACAATCTACAATCTCCATTCCATAGCACCAGGTAGCATTGGGCGATTATATAATAGTAGTAGGCTAGTAGCAATAAGCCAATAACAACAGTAGATTAATACTATTTTTTTAAAAAACATATGCAGGTGGTTCTATTCAATCTCTCTCCGTAAATTTTGACCATAGCAAATTTACATAGTACTTACTAACTATATCAATTTTTCAATTAATTTTATTAGAACGTAGATGCACTAAAAGTATTATCTAATTAATTGTACATTAAAAGAATGGCGATATGGAAAGATATGACGGAATTACTGTATTATGAAAGTGGAAGATGAACACCGCGATGAACTGACAATCATTTGACCGACATACGTTTTACCGACAGGTACATCGCATTTCAATGATAATCCACTCAAAATTATATCCGCTTATTATTGATTATTAATATTATTTTATAAAATTTAATTAGTCATAAGAAATTTAATGGTGCTTTGTCATGATTTTGCGTACGTTTTCATATGCAATTCTTACGCAAAAAGTTAAATTTGTTAGTCGGAGATTGTCAGCTACATGATTTGCCGATAATTTGATCAACCAAACCCTAATAAAGGGATCCACGAATCAATTTTTCTCAGACTAAAGCACGAATTTGACTAAAGGCCAATCATTTTTGCTAGAATTAGAAATGGTTTAAATAATGAATTATCATATCCAATGGTAACACCCTAATTTTACATGTTTTATATTCTTGTTGGTCTCTAATTTTTAATAGTCGGACATAATAAGTACATCATAGATTCCAGGTTCAAGAAGCCTTGGTCATTATAGCACATTCGAAAGTTGAATGTCCTTATTTTCTAGGCAACGCTATATGGTGTGTCGATCTCTAATAAAACGGAAATGTCTTTAGATCAAAAAATTTTATAATATTATTAATTGTCGACTAATGCTGGTTAGGGATAATTGGTACTATTTAATTTTATTTCTTTTCTTTTAAAATAAATTATTTGAGAATTGATTTGTATTGCAATTAATTTCATTCATTATAGTTACTTTTTAAGTGAAAAAAAAAAGAAAATTATATATAGGAAATAATATTAAAAAAATTATGGTCTCAATAATTTTAGTCAAAGAACCGAGAAGAATTATGAGCTACATAATTCGATTGATTAACTTCTAAAATTACAAGCAGCAGAGGTAAATTTATTTTTATAAAAGTGAGTTACTACACGCGTGAGTAATAAAAATTCTTTTTTCATATCCAGTACGGTATCCGATCAAAATCTTGCACGACTAACATAAGATCGACAACAAAATCTCGACAATCCAAAATCCTGAAAAGTCATTATATCGATAATTTTGTAAATCTAATGATGAGTGTTCTAATAAAATAATTGTTGCAATATGTAATATTTAGTTTAAATTTGGTAAATTTTATAATTTTGTTCTAAAATTGTCAGAATAATCAACTTGTCGGTATAATGATTTGTCGGGATTTTGACTTGTCAGGATTTTGACTTGTCAAGATTTTGTTGTCGGTCTTGTATGATTCCATTTACTAAATTTGCGATAGATGGGATATTTTAAGCTTACCCTATGTACAGTACTTTATCAAGTAAATTTTATTAATGCTTGCTCTTGGCCAAGTATAGTTTACCTATAATTGTTTTTCCTGAATACCACATAGAGGTGGCAAGGTTATTACCTGTTATAGCCAGTTTATAATTAACTGAAATATTGAAAGAATGCTATGTTTTATTAAAAAAAATTGAGTAGGGTTTCTTTATCTGTGCCTCTTCTGTTAACGGGTAAACTCAAAAAAAAACTTTATTAAAGATTTTACATACGAGCCCTTAGTTTGATACAAAAAGAATAGTAATATACTATATAATAATAGCCTAATAAACCAGATTATATATTAACGCCACAGTCGCCACACCCCAAAAATCTACCTAAAAGGCGAAAATAAAAAGAAAAAAGAAATAATAAAATTAATCTGGATCACTTGTATATAAAATCCAAAATATCTTTACCAAAATATATATTATGTAATAAACCTTGTGCTCCCGTAAAAAGGCCATTATTAATATAATTCCTATTATCTACAAAATTTTTATCATAACTTCTAACTTTATCCATTTTTTTTTTGTAATACTTAATTTCTTTTTCTTTTTTAAAAAAAGATTATTTCTATTATCCCATATAATTTTTGTTCCTTTAAAAACCATTTGTAATAGAAATAATCCAAAAAATAAATGTTCTTCCTTTTTCATGATACTAAAACGTTAAGAATTCTATTATCTCATATGGAAAAACACAATCAGGAAAGGTTAATCGATTATCACAATTCATCTTTAAAGGAACTTTTAATAATTGGTAATAGTTTAAATATCTTGTCTACACATTTATCGACTTGCAACGTGCAAAAGCTCTCAACAGTTGATCCAGGATGGTAACCCTAACGCCCTTATATGTGATCGGAAAGCCAGAATCCCCGGAACTGTAATCTTCGGTGCGTCTTTATCTATTCGATTATTATATATGTTATCACAATGAGCTTTAACTTTAAAAATTTTTGGTTTAATATTAAATTTTGTAATCAATTCATGTATAAAAGTCCATATGATACTACACGACCTCTTCCTTAAAAATTTGACGAATCGTGCATCTTCTGTTAAGTATATTTAGCGTTGCGGTTGTATTTATTTTCAATGTCACAACATTCGTTACAACGTTGTATTGTCGTATTATAATGATACAAACATTTTTTAACATATGATTATAAGGAATTAACCTTTTGTATTAGTTGCAACAAGCGTTTGCAACACTGTATTGTTGTATATTATATAAGCTTTTGCGACTAAACGTAGAGTATTCATGTATACAAGATTTACAAATCTCTTTATATTTACATCCCCTCCCATTCTATAGTAGTTCTTCTCTTTCTGCCCTTCTTCCTCTTGCCTTCATCCTCAGTGATAAAAATTAAACACTTGTTTTTGTTGCTGCTGATTGGCAGACAAATAGATATTAATTGCAAGATTTGTTGTTACACGTTACTCAGAATCCAAGAAATTTAAAAATATAACTTTCTATATAACAAATTTATCCTCATATCCACTTTTACCTACTAAACTTTCAAGATGGATCTCACAAGGTATATCTTAAATAAATGCTTATGAAGTGCATATTTTTTTTTATTCGAAACATTTTTTTTTCATTACTTAGTTTTCCAACATCTAAAGAGTTTATGTAAAAAGTAGAAAATGACCACTCTTGAGCCTAGATACGTTGCGCGCTGCTAAATAATAACATATAACGTATATATTTTTTTAACACCATTGTTAAAAAAAAGTAATATAGATAATCGATAGTCACTCTCGTTCTCTCTTTCACTTTCAAGCCTCGATTATGATTAAATTTTTTTTCAAATAGTTAAAATTGTCGAATGAGATTCTCTTCCGGCTGGAGGTTGCAGTCTAGTTAGGATTTCAATAGATAGTTACTAGATTATTTCAAATATTAGTTAAAGTGAGTGACCCACAGGAGCTTTGGGAAATTGAAATCAAATTTCCTTTATTGTACGGTCCCCAAGGAAACCATGAAGTTACTTTAATTCCCCTACTATAAATTAAGGTGAGCGTACTTTTTTCTCCTTTTCATCATTTTGCGTGTGCATTTATCTAGGTTGAAGATGAAAAATACAAGATCGTCTTTTTTTTATTATTTTAATCCGATTAATTATGGTTTAAAATAGCTATTCAAATTAATTAAGTTTTTTCAAAATTCAGTTGTTAAAATATTAAAGTCTTCATTGTAATGTTAACTTTGTTAATTTACTACATATAATTGATAATATATTGGGTAACGACATTTCTTTTCTAAAATTATATTATTATTAAATCCTAGAGGCCATAAAATTGTCTATTAACCTTTTTTATTAATGCTAATATAAAAATGCAGAAACTTAAAAAAATTTTGAATTGTGATAAACGCGATAAAAACGATGAACTAGTATCATTCACAAAGTGACGAGATATAGTATACGTTTTTACAATCATTATCGCATTTGTATACAATTAATTTCACCATGAAAAATTGTTACGGCACTTTAATAATTGTCAGATCAACACTCTGTATTATCCTATTACTCATTTTTCTCTATATCAACTGACCCAATCCAGCAACTGTTGCCTGTCCACGTCTATAATGTTCGTATTAGTTACCGTAGGACTTCTTCCTTTCTGCATCCACAAGGTCCTGATCTTCTGTGGAGTGAGAAATACAAGACTTATTTGGTGTACTATATACAGATTATTTAAAGGATCGCGTATGATTTGTCATCCCAATAATGGTATATTAATTTCTTCGTTCGCTAATAGTCGGTAGCAATAGGTCACCACAGTGGAATCGCACAATTAACATGTCTTGACATCTTGGTCGTAGAGTTAGATATCGCTTCTTGAAAATAATCGGAAATTTGTCGAGATGTGACACGGTGACGATTAATATCACATGAACACCATATATATATTGTTGACGATGAAGAATCTATTGTTGACGATGAAGAATCTTCATCGTATATATTGTTGACGATGAAGAACGTTCATCGTATATACTGTTGATTATGAAGAATCTTCATCCGTATAAATTGTTGATGATGATGAATTTTCATCTGTATAAATTGTTGATGATGAAGAATTTTCATCGAGACTAGAAATCCACGATGGCCAGATAGATGTTAGATCCAGTTTCTTCATAATAATATATTGTATAAATAATAGTAAAATATAGATTGCTTTTCAAATATTGAGTATAGTAAAAATAGCCGAAGCTTATTTTTTGATTTCATTTTAAAATAATTAGAACTTGCGTACTTAGTAACTGTCTATTATTTTAACCCATTTAAACGAAATTTGGTCAATATTTTTAACATAACACTTTCTGCTAGACGTCTGATAGTCCTCTTCTTCTTATTACCATTCTTGAGTGGTAACATTACAATCACGCCTACAACTCGTTTCTCCTTGGATATTGTATTAATACTGTAAAGATAAATATTTCTGCTTAATTTCATCAACTTAGTCTTTCAGAATCATGGATATAATAGAAGAGAGTATAGTACAGTATATAGATTAAGTCTCTCCTTTTCTAACCAGTTCCTAACCATTTTGATCGTACTTCAAAAAAATTTAGTTAATCTATATAATTTGACACTGAGTTAACTCTCATTACAACAAAGCTACCAATTAAATAAATTGTGAATAACTGCATGTTAAAAGAGTTATTTTAAATATTAACTAATAAAAAGTTTCTAATTCTCAAACTCTTCAAATTCTTCACATAACGAATTGAAATTATATCACACGTGATATAGTCCAGTGGTTCATATAAATAATGATACAGCATGAATTTTCATTTGCACAATCTATTCCTATCTGGCCGGTACTATAAATTTGTCCAGAATTACGATTTTAACGATTTTCCGTCGCCGATTTTCAGATTCATCTCGAATCGCCAGAATTTTTTACAGATGATTTGGGCATTATTTTTTTCGGATGAATCCATTCAGATTGACATTTGACCCGATCCGGGATCCTTAATACCATCCAGATCAAAGCCCTTTGATAATGTAAAAGCATTACATAAAGGAAGCTGGATCTTTCCATAAATTCCTGTTAGTCTAGTATGATCATCCTGCTAATGAATAGAATTTGTTGATAAAGTTGAGAACAAAATGTTGCTTTCTGAATTTTTATGGTACGATAAACGACTTTTCAGAATCCAATTGGATAGATCGTTATTACATATTGTACTTTCCCTACTGAAAAAAGGCTTTATTAATATACATTATGAGAAGAACAAAGTATCATATCACAAGATCAATATTCTTACATAAATTACATACCATAATGGATTCACTTATGATATAATTGAGTTTATCCATCTTCATAAACATGGAAATACTTCGTTTATACACCATGAGAAGTTATATGATTTTCGTTCACCGAAAATACGAAAACGTGATTCGTAATCCGGCCAATCCGGATTGAATTCGGATATCCGCATCCTACATTTTCGGACTATATCTGTATTCGGGATAATTTTGCTCGTGAAAATATTTGACCGTTTCGGACTTTTGCTTAAAAATGAATCTTGTATCAATGGGAAGGTTCACCGGATTATATATATATATATATATATATATTTTCTCAATATTCAGTTTTCCAAAATTTTCTCATGAGCCATATGTATTAAGTCATAAGTCATGGCTGATAACCCCTTAAAGTTCAACCGTTAAAATTCGGATTAGGATAAATCCGGATAAATCTGAAATTCCTTAAAATCGGATGTGATTAATCCGGATGGATCCTAAATAAAGGATAAATCCGTTGATCCGGATTGAATCCGGATGACTCTTTAAGAATAGGATCGGAACAATAGAAAATGGAACACAAAGAGGAACGGATCGCCATTATAAATGTACTCCTAAAAAAAAACAAAAATTATAATAATACGCTATTAAAAGGTAAAAATATCATAATCGCAAAGAATAAAATGTTTTACCATCAATTGCAAACTATAACAGTTTCGTAACAGTTACACTTGGGATAGTGAACGACTCGCTCTGTTCTGAACCAATACTATTGAATTGACCCGTTTCGAACTGGATGAACCGGTTTGATTCCATCGGTTCTTGGTCAGTTCGGTCCAGATCTAAGCCAGTTCATATCAAAATTTTTACCAGAGCCGACTCGGAACCGGCCGATGGAACGAACCGACTCAAACCGTTTAACCGCGAACTTTTTCCATCCCTAAGTTATACTGATGAGATTTATCATCTTCATCAACGTGAAAATTAAATACTCCTATTATTTTTTAAATATTTCACTAAAAATACAAAAAGTGGAAAAAAGGAACTCACAGAATAAAAATGCATTAACAAACAATGTTTCTATCCATATCACTATTACATATTGTTCTTTCCCCGCTGAAAAAAAAACTTTATTAGCATATAAGAACGAAGTGTCATAGCGCAAAGAATAAAATGCTTACCATCAATTATACTCTTCATAAATAAATCTGTCACTGTCTTTGCTTCTGGATCACTGGATCAAATAATTCTGTTGGTTTAGCTAAAATTTACATTATTAGGTGTTTGTTGTTGTGCGATATTCTAAGTGTACCAGCGGATACAAAAGATCTTCTTCTAAGATCATCCTTTAGGTTAATCAAGTAGTAAAGATAGCAACTGATCAAAAAGTTCGTCAACAACAATATCTATGTCTCTTGGTATCGATATCATATACGCTCTATCTCACCTAAGCGGCCGCGCGTATCTGTAAGAACTCAAACTGTTCGAGTGCACCAATGATACACCCTGTGCCAAGGAGGTCCTTGTTTTCTCAATAGGTAACACACATTTGTGAGATTGTATTAACAAATCCTCCCTTATCACTTGGATAAATAATTTTCCAAATAATGATTTCTCCTTCTCGAGGTAAAGATACCAACTTTTATTTTCAGGTTATAATGGTAACAACGGAACAGGTGATGTGTGATTAAATCCGATAAAAAAACATAAATATGATTTTGTACAAAACTAGATTATTAGCATAGTCGTAAATAATAAGATAAATGTTCAACGAGCGCCGACGCTTCACTATTTTGTAAAATTTTCCGGATGTGATGTATTAGCCTGAAAAGAACCCAAACTGATATAATATTATCAGGCTTAATAATATACGGAAATATTCTGATAATATGAAAAATTTTTTTTTTTTTAGTTTATTTTAAAAATACATATATATATTTATTTATTTATAACAGTATACTTACTTATCCCATCCTGAAATTTGTTATCAAATTCACTGATAATGAAAACAGCACCAAAATAGAAATAAGAATTGGTCAAAATAAAAGACTTTCTATGAATCATATAGTGATTTGTTGGAATTAAACGAATTTTCTTCAAATTTGGTCAAATCCCAATTTCTAAATTTTAGACTACTGATGAAATGGTTTTAATTTTTGTCCGTCTTCATTAGCATAACTTAAAATCTGTTAAATTGATTTCAAAAAATGTTCAGTCTCATTACTCACACGTGTAATAAATATAGTTTTCAGAAAAATAATTTACCCTAATACCCTTGTGAATCTGGAATTGACTTCTTTAATTTCATTGATTTTCCAACCTTTGAACTAATTAATGAAATTAAACTATGTATTATAAACCAAAAATAAATAAAATAAATACGTGATAATCGTAATAACCTTTTTGCTGTAAGTATAAAAAATTTTTTAACTGAGAAACTGGTGAAAAATTATTAAATGTTCCAAACTACCTGAACTTAGATAATTACTCTATATCGGTACATATTATGGATTTATAGGATTCAACTACAACTCAACGTCTGCTGAAGTTATGAACAAAACTTTCCGCTCATTTTTTTAAACATGAACGTGTTTAATAAGTTTAAGTTTTTTTTTTTTTTTTGTTAACGCCTCAACTTATAGAATTTATAGGTGTTACATCGCACAAGTTGCACAAGTATGGTGACTATGGTCCCGCTGCGGAATCAATTTAGAGTATAAACTACTACCGCACTACCGCAAAATTAATATTAGAAAGTGTGATATTTATAATAAAATACTTTTTGCTAAAATTGACTAAAGAGGATTTTTCTAAAGTTTTATAAATCTATAAATCTAGTATAAATCTAGTTACAAATATCACAGATTTTGTAATATTTGGAATTATACTTTATCGCAAACAACAACACCGCGAATATACGTGTCGATCCTTTTACCAGGCCTTTAATACCGAACTTATCTCAATTAAACGAGGTATAGTGCGGGTCAAAAGTAGTTAGTGGCACAGGCCAGGTCATATCATATAGGTTGGAACTGGATTTAAAAAATAAATCCGGTTTTATTTCAACTTATAATATATCCGGTTCCTGCGAATCTTTCGGATTTATATCGGGTTTCCTTCGGTTGTCCAGATATGATAAATCCCGTTCCATCCGGATTTATTATATCCGAATATCGATCGATATTCGGATTTAAATCTGAATCGAAGGAAACCGGATTTAAATCCAACTATCGAATACTGGATCTAACCTCTATAGATAACTGACTCATCGCCGACATCGCACTTAATAGTAATAAGATTTATTATAAATAATTTTGGTCGAGGAAAATTTGTAATGAGCCAAATTGTTTATCCCGATCCCGAATCGTTATACTAAGTTCTGACTGTAAAACGAATGAACGAACACAAGTTCCTTCATCTTTAATTTTTCTAAACAAAAAATACGACATAAAGCTTCTTTATCTATGACTAGTAAGTAGCCCGGTAGTGTTGTTAAGTACAAGTCAAACCGAACCAGTCGACTCGGTTTGACTTGAAGATTTTTTGGATTTTTAAGTCACGGTCCGGTTTGGTTCGACTTGACTTGTCAAATTAATGGGGTCAAACCGATTGAGTTGATGGGGCCGATAGGCAAGTCGATGGGACCGGTAGAAAGTCGATGTGACTGATATTAATGACCCCCATCGGTTCGATTTGGAGGTCCAAGTCAATCGGTTTGGTTTGACTTTGGCTCCAAGTCGGACCGAACCGGACCGTTAACAACACTAAATTTATAGGTATATACAGTAGTATAAAATTATATATGATAAAATGCCCTGCCGAGAATTGCAAATTAAGTCATTTTATATGCGACATGTTTTAACAGAGAAAAATATATATCACTCGTATGTACAGTATCCACATTTTTAATCACGTGAAATATTTGTTGAAATGAAAATTCTATTTGAGATCTCTCAATGTATAGGAGTTGCACCAGGATGGCGCTGTCTGCGGTTTGGTTCACGATTTTAGTTTAAATTTACTTTTAGCTTACGCATAGTTTGTCCTTGTAATCTGTATCGTGGCTTCGTTCACGTGGAATTAAAAATAAAATCAATGTATAGGAGTTGAACTAATAGAAATTTTACACCAAAAATGAGACATGAATGAGACATAGCATAACGACTCCCGAATAAGATACCAAATTTATAATTTGAAATAATGAAATAATATTAGACAACTAATGATAATTTTGATGTGGAATAATATCAATTCACGATAAGTAGATATTCCATAGAGGTTAAAGAGAAAATTAAAACAGTTTTCAAGATTCTGGATCAATACGATTAGCACTACCTGAAATTATCTATAATATTTATCGGAATTAACATTATTCCCGCCCTCGATTCCCGATTCCAAATTTCCTCTGAATTTTTTACCGAGTTAACAGTTAACCATTATGCTTTTAAAATTAACCGTATTATTGACATAATTTAATGTACGGCTAAAAATCATTTCGCGACAATTTTATTAAAATCGAATCTGTAAGAATAAATCAAATAAACAAACGTACTTAAAACTTTGAAGAGTAAATACTACAATAGTGATCACTTTCCCCGCATAATCCACTTAATCCACTTCTGCGACCTGTCATTCATTCGCTTAGATTCATTAAATGACCTCAACGTGATTGCTGGTGTAATGCTTCGATCCGGATAAAACCTCAAATATTTCACACGAGATCATGGCTATTGTAAATCCCAGATCTGAATGAATTCGGCCGGAATTTATCCAAAATTTTGTATGCCTAAATTAACCGTACCGGATACGGATCATCTGTACTTTAAATAACGATTCATTTTTTTTAGAATTTCGCTTGCTAAACCTTTCTTGTTTACATTAATTGATTCTGTCTTGCTTGTTTAACATCATCTTTTAGTGAACTCTGATCATCATCATAAATGGCTCTTTTTTTTTTTGCTTCATCCATTAAAATATTATATTTCAAATAATTTGACAAAATTTACTCGAAATATTATTTTTTTTCTGAAAGATCATTACAAAATAATATTTTTGAATGAATTTGAACCTTCGTCACTTAGACTTGTATTATTTACTATAAATATGGAAAATTTTAATCTGAATTTCTTTGACTCACTATCCGGTTAACTTTGACTGTTTGACAGCTTTATTGACTGTTTATTTAACAATTTCAACAATTTTAAGTGTAAATTTTTACTTTATTAAAACAAAGGTTATATCCAATTATATCATTGCCATCCGTCCCAAATTTTGCTTCATACAAGTTTTTTTACGTTTTTTTTTTAAAAAAAAGAACATTTAATAATAAAAAACATGACTATAATAATAAATAATTCTTTATTATTTATTTATTTATCATTTTATCGCCATTAACCATAGAGCATTTATTCTTGACGGGAGATACCAAATATGAGATGATCGCTGTAGTAAAAGACCATATGATCATTATGTTGTGATTCATTATTTGCACAAATATGTACAATGATCACAGTGTTCCATGTAAAATAAAGTTGTGAAACCATTAATTACCGCTATAAATAAATTTTTTTTTTTTTCATTTTAAAAATTTATTTAAATAAAATGGTAGAACTTAATGTTGACTGTCTTATTTTAATTTTTAACGAACTACAAACTGATAAAGAATCTTTATATGCTTGTCTTTTAGTTAATAGAGAATGGTGTCATTTAGTCGTTCCTATATTATGGAAAAAATATTCATGGTATTATGATTATGAAGAATCCGAAAAAAAGCTTTTCAATATAATATTATCTAGTTTATCATCATCCTCAAAACAACTTTTATCTGATAATGACATTAAATTACCTTCAACAATTTTTTTAAAACCCTTATTATTTAATTATATCAGTTATTGTAAATTTCTAGAAGTTGAAATTATAGATAAAATCATAAATATGGTTTTTGAAGAAGAAATTATTACGGAAAATATTTATGATAAAAAAAATCTTTTAGAACAAGAAATTTACAAATTATTTATCGTTCAATGTAAAAATATTAAAGAATTATCATGGCAAACTTTACAACCTTTATCATTATTTCCAGGAGCTTCGATATGCTTTTCTCAATTATATAGTTTAAGTATTGATATTGATTTTGTAAATTCTGACGCTCTTTATGAGATGACAAAAATTTGTAAAGATTTGAATGAATTAACTGTATATGATTGCTCTCAAGATCATCCTGGATTAATTTCTTTAATCGACGTACAGAGAAATTTGAAAAGGGTATCACTTTATTCTTACAGTAAAAAAGGTATTTGTAAAGAGTTGAGCAAAGCATTAACAAGAAAGGGGAATACAATAAGCGATCTCGGTTTATACCCAGTTAGCATCATTCAACCTTCATTTTTAACATCTCTTATTAATTTAAGGAATATGTCAATTTATAATTATCATAATGATAATATCGAAAAAGAGATTTTAGAATTTCAAAAATATCTTGCAATTTCAGAATTTCCTAAACTACAATCTCTTAATGTTTACGGTTTATCAAGTTTTAGAGAATTGGCAATATTAATTGAAAAAACAAAAGGAAATATTTTAGAAATTTATATTTATATTTATAATAAAGCTGCAGAAAATACAGAAATGTTAATTAAAGCAATTGCTAATAATTGCTCAAAAATTGAAAGGTTATCTACACATCTTGAGCCAAAAGATTTCATTCATGTAAAATCATTATTATTAAATTGTAAAAATTTGATACATTTAGAATTTAATAGTTTGAGTTTTTTGTTAAGTGAAAATGATAATACCGGGGATGAATTATTAGATAATTTAACTGAATTTGCTCCAAAATCTTTGGCTGAAATAATAATTAGCGGAGATTGGAAGTATTCAATTGATGCTTTAGAAAGATTTTTTGAAAGTTGTAGAGAACGAAATTTAAATCGTTTCGATATTACTCATTATGGTAGATATTATATTACGGATGACCATAAAGTAACAATTAGAAAATATATTAACGAAGGTGTAATAATAGAATCAAATTGTGCATAAACGTAATGAAGTATAATTTATTAATTTAAGTTAGATTTTCTTTTTTTTTTAAAAAAAAAAATAGAATAAAATGATGGTTTCAATAATAAAATTCATTAACTATTATTTAACGTAATATTTTAATAAATGATCTTATTAGCTGAATTAAAATAATCAATAGGTTCAATTAACGAATTCCCGCGGTTTTAAATCTAAAAATGTAGAGTTCGTTATCCGTTAAAAAACGGATATCCACGGATATTCGGATATCCGGATAGAACGGATACGAAATTTTAGATATCCGGATAGAACGGGTACGAAATTTTAGATATCCGGATAGAACGGATACGAAATTTTGGATATCCGGATATTATTATCCGTTGGCAGTAATTCGAGCCAATTTTATAGTGCTGGCCGGAATAAGGTTCCTTTTTTAATTCTGGTCGGAATTATAAATTTAGCCTGAGTTATCCCTGCAAAAATATTTGGATATCCGGGTAATATCTGAATTATATCCGGATGATCGGAAAAATGCAAAAATCAGATATCCGGATTGACGGATACAAACTCTAACGTGAGGACTGCGATCATAAATAGAGGTTGGATCCGTGATATTAATAATTTTGAAGATCGTTAGATGACCCACAGATTTAAATGGTTTGGACAATATTTTTTATAGGGCGTGCTTAATATTATTTTATTAAGAGCTGAGATAAGGAAACTAAAAATAATTAGATCATTCTGTGGTAAACGCAAACGCGTAATTTTATTTGGCGTATTAATTCGTGTTAAAAGATATATATGCACATTGACTTTTTTGTCCAAATGACAACCATTATTAACAACAGCGAACATGTTCTTTAATTTTCTTTGTAATTATGGTAAGTTGAAACTGAACAACTTATATCTATGATAATTTGTCACTTCATAAGATCTATATTATTATCGGGTATGATACAAAATCCGAAACTCAAAATCCCGAAATCCAAAATCCCGACAGGTCAAAATCTTACAGAGCGACTTTCGGGCAGCACTAAAGCTTAATGTGGGGCTGTGGGCCAATTTTTCGGGATTTTGAGTTTCGGGATTCGTACCATACCCAATTTTATTTTATTAAAGAAAAAGTGGAGAAACAGATACAAAGTTATATATAAAGGAAAAGGTCTAACGCTAATCTACTCGTGTACCATCTAAACAACACACATATAAAATCTATATAAGCTCACTTTTTGTAAAAAGGACTACTACCTATAAGGAAATTAATAAAATAAAATTAAATAAATTAGTTGCGTCGCCAACATGACATGTGTCTCATTTCATTGTATGTATGCATTCTGAGAACAAAAATATATGTAATAATGCATTATATCATATTCATTATTAATTATCTAATACCAAAGTTCCATTAAGATCGTACATTTTAATATACTTAGTAACTCTGGCCAGTTTTAACTGGTGTGGGCGTGAATCTGTTTCAGATCCTAACGACGTCGTTATACATTTAGCGATCATTAATATCAGTACTGTACATCACATGTTCATAAAACCCACTTAAGAGAAAAGAAGGATAACAATGAGCCCAATCATCGATTAATAATGATATTTATATTTATGTTGTGTATTAAAATGAGTGGTTTTTTTTTATTTAGGATTATATTTTTACAAATTTGGTGAATAAATTTATTTATCCAAATAAAGTATATAATTTAATGATAAAAAAACTTGATAATTATATTTATTTAAATTTTCAGGATACTGTCTGTATATGCATTTTGTTTACGATGCACAAGTTTACTTAAAAATTAGAGTTGATTTAGTCAATAAACTCAAATCAAATATCAGATTCATTGACGTACGATATCATTTAAGGCACGATATTAAAAATTAAAAAAATATAATTATAAGTTAAATTGGTCTCAAACTGCTTTTTAATTGGTTAATAGGATAATTACTTATTAAAGTACTAAATACCACGTTGAAATAATTATACCATGTGATGTTAATCTAATCACATGTTTAATATTCCATGTTATTTAACGAGAAAAATCTGGGTAAAATTTTACAGGGATGCCCGGACAAAATTTTATTTATTTTCAAGCACACCAAACAAATAAATAGGTTTCCTACTTTATTAAAAATGACATATTGCATGCAATACTACTGAAGCTGTGCATTCTATGTTTTTTCCATTTTGATATCTATAAGATAATTATCCGTTATCCGCACAACATAATTATTGTTTTTAATTACAACAATGCTTCGGAGTCTTAAATAAATGATGATCGCTACGACTTCGCCGTTTCATTTCAAATTAATACCAAGGTTAAAAAAAAATCTTCTTGAAATTTTTTGCAATGCTTTTATTTACCAATTGAATATTGTCATTTTTTAACGAATGCTTCGGAGTCTTAAATAAATTTGATAATCGTTACAACTTCGCCGTTTCATTTAAAATTAATATCAAGGTTAAAAAAAAAATATTCTTGAAAATTTTTGCAATGCTTTTATTTACCAATTGAATATTGTCATCTAAAAGCACGTTGGAAAATAAGCACGAACCATTTATAATATTTATCTAGAGATGTTCTTTTCAAAATGAAACTAAATACCGAAAATAATCCAGAACATAACATTACCGGAACATCTTAATCCCATGTCTAAATCCCGACAAATACATTATTTAGGGATTATTCTAGATGTAATCAAATTAGTTAATAAAAAAAATTTTAACTGAAATTTTATTAAATTAATTTAAATGTATTAAATATTTCGAGATTGTTTGTTTATAGAGCACAACATGCTGTATATAAAGATCATTATAATGACCTCATTTGTTTTCTGCATAGTTTAAACCATGGGAATAGTTGATAATAAATTGACGTGAAGATATTAACCAAAAATGGTTAGTTGTGTAACAATTTCGAATGTGCAGTCGTATGATTCAACGTAAACGTTTTTTAATTTTTGTCTTTTATGCAATATACCCTATTTTTATGAGCACAGAATAAATTGTGATAGGTGCGCACCTACCAATATCACACATAGTACACCGATCATTTTAGGGATAATATAAATGTAAATGAAATAGTTTCATGTAGAAAGATTAAAAGGGTTTTTTGATAAGTATCATATTCCGAAAAATTATCTTTAGTCGGTTAAGTATTTAATCCTATTTGTGTTTCTTTAACTAACCAATAAAATTTGATATTATATATTATTCTCTCGTTAAACTTGATTCAAATTGTTTTGAACTAGAAGAAAAATTAATGACAAAAATTGTATAATTTCACTATCTGTACAAAATTAAATATTTTTATTTGAATTCTTAAATTATACATAACATATGTAACATTATTTACTTGGCTAAAAAATAAACAATTTTTTTTTTTTTTAAAAAAAAAAAACAAAAGTTGAAAAAAAAAAATTGTATTTCATAAATTTTTTGAAGTCAAAATTTTTAACTTAAATCTGAATTTTCACGAGAAAAACATCTTTTCATATTACGAGGTAAACCAAATACAAGAAAGAGCATTGATCCCATAAAAGCACCAGCGAGATCATTACCACCTATACCTTCATTGTGAACTTCACCAAATAAGCCTTCCTTAAGGATCATCGATACAGTTTGAAACGAAGCTAAAACATTAATTAATGCAAACCCGCATGCAAATAAGACCATACGTATTGCAGCAGCTTTTGTCATATTATATGCTTTTATTTGATTTGCTCTACTTTGAGATCTTGGCCGTCTATGTGCTGTTATTGTGGTTCTTGTTCCAGATGTTGTTGTAGCTTCTGAATTCGTGATTTCATGATTACTGTCCACATGAATTTGAATTTCGTGCGGGGAAGTGTCATTAGTATTATTTCTATTTCCCGTCATTGCTCTCGTGGAGTCATTGCTGTCAGTCCCATTAGAAATTTTACTTTTAAATTGATCTAAATGTCTAAATACTTGAAAAGCTGCACGCCCTGTGATATTGAAAAACAGGTATTAATTTTTATTCTTTTAGAAAAAATAAAAAAAAAGTTGTTTCTTTTTATCGTTACTCACCACTAAAGTATACTCCAGGAAAAGTTAATAATAAGTTAAATCCCGAGTATCCAATTAACCTAGCCCATACAGGTCTCTTGATGTCACTAAATAATCAAAATAAAAAGTCAAAATTTTTTTTTTAATTAACAAATTATACTTGATTACTCTCCAAAAAGAAAAAAAATCCATTACTTACCAATTTATTGCTAAAGGTCCTATGGCATCAACTTTAATAGTTACAACGGTTGCAATTATAACTACCACAACGGGAATAATAGCTATAAAGATCATATAAAATTGTTGTAGCTTTTGGGAAGTTCCTTGTTTAAAATGGACAAGTAATTGATAAATATGAAATGCGAAACATAGAGCAGTTACAATCTGCACATATACAGCATATTGAAACTACATTTGAAAGAGAACAGAGTGAGTAAGAACAAATGGAAATATATATATATTTTTTTTTTTAAAAAAAAAAAAAAATTAACAAAATCAAACAAAAGATAACTTACAGCTAACGCTTGAACGTAGCAAAATGTTTTTGGAACACCATGTTTAAAATCACTTATCCAAATGATACTAAGTAATATTATAAATTCTCCCACTGCCATCGCAACCGCCAGGATTGCAATTAAATAATTTTTTCCTGTCACATATAATTTTATGGCAGTACATATTGCGCATACCATAGAAATGAAACATACGATATAAATTATAATAATAGAAATCGCTACCATATTAAAAGTTTGTGGATAAAAAGGAAATAATAATAATAAAAAAGGGAATCAATCTATGAAAGGATCTATGAAAGGATCTACGAGGGATTTTTTTGTGAAAAAAAAGGGAGAGGAATTTTTAATTAAAAAAAGGAATGAAATTCAAAGTTGGATTTTTATTTATTTTTATTTTTAATTTTTTTTATAAGATGATTAAAACAAAATTATCAAGTTATTATATGGTTTTTTTACCTTTAGTAAATGCTGACTGGTTGTTATTATGTCATTAAAATAAAGTATATACGAATTCTATTACTAATTAAATTATGTAATTTTTGGGTCATTACAACGTGACACAGTTTTACACTTTTTTATTTTTTTACAGAACTACAAAATTTTTTTTTTTTACAAAAAAAAAAATACTCAAGTAATATTAGTCAACGTTATATAACAAATACAATGATTTTCTGGGAAAAAAAAATTTCGGATGCACAAAAATTAATCTAAAATAAGGAACCAATAAATGAATTATTACGGTAATCTAACCTTAATTTGTATCGACAACCAATTGGACGGTGAAAATTCTCACATTTCGGAGTCTTTTTTTTTTTATTTATCGGGTACTATCAAGTATCAACAGTAACTGTTGCATTGATTTTACTAATTTAACTAACTGTGCGGATTTTTCTTTACAGATTTTCGTAAAGATTATCATATATTAAAAACTTTTTTTACCCAAAAATGGTATTTCCCCAAGAAAGCTTATTTGCGCTTGGTTCACTAATAATTGCATGTAAAAAATTATTTGTCCCGACTATATATTATCTAATACGAAACTTTAGTAACGGTCATGAAACCATTAAAAGGATTAATAAACAAAATTTTGAATTGGGTCGATTTAATAAAACACTTTTCACATGATCTGGGTTATATTAATTCCGATCTTGTCCTGATCCAATCTTCCTATGTATGGATTAGTGGATCACGGTAACGGGATATATTAGTTGTTGGACACAGAGGAACGGGATAGATCGCTGAAAATCAATACTTTATATAATTCATTCCGAGGAAAACTTTTAAAGTTTTTTTTTTCATAAGAAACAAATATAAGTAAAATTAACACGAAAATCGTCAAATTATTTAGTTGATCCGGTGCGTTGCGTATTACCAATTATACGGCTACAAAAGTGAATCTTTGGGATGCTAACTTAACAAAGTCATCATAATTATAAAAAATATATGTATAGCTATTGAATATATAAAAGAATTTTTTTTTTTAATAATATTTGCTTCCAATATCTTCAAAACTTATATAAACATCAAATAATTATGTACAAATTATTAAGATAACTTATTAATTTTCCATTCATGCACGAATTCAATCTTAGTTAAGTAATCTTTTAATTATAATTTACTCTAAAAAGTATTTATTATTCATTAATATGTAATATATATATTAAATCCTTAAATTTTATGCTTAATTATCCTAGATGTGATGTTTCCGGGGTAATCGTTTACCCGTCAAACGCTAATTACCTTTGATGAAGTCATATTAGTTATATGATTTTTTGTAATACTAATTGCTATTTATTTATTTATTTATGATTCTTTGTTCATTGAAACAATTATTCTCTAGTATCTTTGATATAGGTAACTATAGAATGTAAGGTAGTAACTAATCAAAATTTTGATTGCAAAAAATAATTACTAAAAAAGCATTGACTATATGAGGCGTTCGGCAAAGAACAATTTAATACAAGAAGACGGCAAATTATGACTCCTTATTATGTAAGGTGGAAAAAGTTTTTTATATCTAGGGTCAGGTACAAATCCTAGATTTATAGGTAAATTATTTATCCCACAAGCCTTTTAAATGCACTTTATGGTACGTTATTCACTTTTTTATTAGAATGCGCATATGATTTTATCTAGGACCTATTAGATTAATTATACCTCCAAGATATCATCACTGACATTCTTCTATGACTCAGATTTGCAAATAATTGTCTTTTTGAGATCCCAAAGTAGCTTGGTGCAAAATAATCCTTTGTTAGAATTTAGAAGCACTGGGAAAGACCTTGAATAAAGCTTGACTATAAATTTTTATATTGCCAATTAAAAAAACATTCACACTTTATCCAGAATCAATAGCCAATTACTGTATTTTTTCCCCATAATTTAGATCCTATTTCACAAGATATCAGAAGCGATACTTTGTTAAAAATTACTAGTTTTGTGTTTCGTTACTTCCGTTATTTCCGAGTATAAATTATTTTTCATGATTGGCTGATCTTCCTCCTATAATATGGAGACCCCCGTTCATTACCTAACCCCTTACATAATAATTACACGTGTACAACATTGATCGTTGATGGTTTATTAATTTTTGCCTTTTATGCTCTTTCAATAAATAAATAAAATTATGTAATCATCTGTTATTAATAGCAATTCGGTTACAAAATACAAAATATGGCGTGAATTTTTTTCTAATATAAGAAATTTAGGACATATAATGCAAAGTATTTCTTAATTAAACTCTTTTGTCAGTTTTGTGTATAAGTGATGTTTAATTCCAATAATACAGTATGTTGATAAATGCCGTTAAAATAATAATAATTAGCCAGGAAAAATTTTTCAAATCATATACCCTGTTTTTCTCCTTCCGAGAGAACCCTATTATGATAGATTTGATCGTCTGATATTATGTTAATCGTCATTTTTGAAAATGGAACGTAATTGTTATTGATTAACTATAAGAATAAATAAATTTAGATATCTCAGAACAGAAAAAATTTTATAATTATTATGTAATTATTGGGAAAATGTTCAATATGAAACGAATCAAGCCTGATTTCTTTGATAATTACCATATTGTAAATAAGAATCACTCAAATTTAGATTTAGTATACCACAAATTACTGATAATAATTTTGGATAAACCCTTTTTTTTTAATGAAACAAAAAATAAACAAAATTAAAATAATAATTACCAATAGGTCTTACGTCTTTTTTCCTTAAATTCGTCATTTAATTTATTTAATTTCCTTTATTAATATTTTCCGCATCCTTTCTCGCACCGATTGCCCGTTATGTCCAAACGGATTCGATGCCTAATTTTTTACGTCTGTATTTGGAAATTCGGATAAAATTTTGTTAAAAAAGAATTTCTCACGAGAAAAATTAGATAAAGTGGTCTCTTTTAGCCGTATGATTCATCATTTACCTTTGAACCCAGGTTTTCCATTTATTAAAACCTCTTTAGAATTAGTATGTCTTGCTTTGTTTTTCCTTTTATAACCTATTGAACTTCATAGATAAGATTATTTCATATAGACCAGCTTTCTTAATTCTTATCTTCCAATAAAAATTTTAATATTGGATCTGCATGTTTTTAGAGATCATAATTTAAGTTGTAAACGTTATATTTAATTCAATTTTATCACATACGATACAACAAAGAAAATATGATATACAAAGGTGGCGTTATGGTAAAATTTATTACACCAAATTTTTGATATTACATCGGCGTGTTCCGTAATATTCGGCATGGCATGGCTTGAACCTAATTCACCTTGTACAATTGTGTCGTTATGTGCCTCTTGTGATTATGCCCCCAGATCGGGAATTTTCGATCGGTAATCACATCATACGACATTTCGAATCCAAATTGAAAAAATTCGCGATTTGGAATTGAAATTCACGATATACGGCAAGATATAGGTCTATAAAATTAATAAAGTTAATTAGTTCTGGAATATTAAGAACACTCCCACATTTGCCTTTTACAATCGTAGTTAAAACGTTTGAAGAAATAGTACCGGTAACTCCATAATAAGTTAATGAACAAAAAATGAACAATTAGTAACTAATTTTAGAACAATCAAAACAACACATATAGTACTTATTTGGTTATACGACAACAATTACTCTCACTTATATCCTACCTTGATAAAGAAGGGATCAGCTCGTTAGTACCACCACAATGAGTTGAGCTGTAACCGCTACAACTTTAGTTGTAGTTTCACGCAATTTGAATAAATAATATAATTTTACAAGATGAGATTATTGAAGTAAAGAGATATAGCGTATTTTGATTATCAAATCGAAAAATTTTCGACGTCAATCACTAAGAAATTGTTTAAAAAAAGCATGTGATAAGTACTTTATGATAAAGATTATTTATGATTGGACGGATTAAAAATATTTGCTACTATAAATACGTTTAATCATTTAATAGATATTTTTAGAAAATAACAGATAAGTATAAACACTAAACACGCAAATTAAAAGCGTGTAACATTAAAATTTTGAGTTTTGAACGCGTACAGTAACAACACAACAGACAACAACTTTAATAATTAATTTCGGTATCATGTATTTCTTTTGTCTTAAAGTGATCTACTATTGGTTTAATTGTTTTTTTTTTTTAGTGAAAGGTAAGTAAGTTTTACTGATCGACAAGGTAACGGTTACAGCTTATATCACTATATTATTGCTTATTTTTTTTTTTTTGTAAAAATTGACACATCAGCATATTAAACATCAAATGACTATGTAAATAATTTAAAGACACTGCCAAAAAAAATGATGTTAAACAGTCGATTCAACAAATCTTTTTATCCAAAACAACAAATAATTTCTTTTTACAACTATCGTTATGGAAAATCAAAGTGATTTATTTATGAAGACTTCAATTGAAAATTTTGGACCGAACGTTGAACCTTTTCTTCAAGAAAGTCAACAAATCTATCAACAAATTGATCCACAACTTTTTACCGATCTTTCATTTAATCTTTCAAAAGGTATATTTATATCTATGATAAAAAAAAAATAATTTCGATATTTTATATTATTTATTGAAATCATCATTTTTTTTTTATAAAAGATGTTTGTCTTCCTTTGGCCGTAGAAAACAATTTATTGGAATCTTCTGTTGCACAATTTGCACAATTTCAATTTTCAACGGATTATTACTCTTATCCTTCTGCTACTGTTCCTTTTTTTGAACCATTACAATTTAATTATTATTATCCTTATTATCCTGTTTTTGATATTGCTCCAATTCAAGATTCTATGGCAGAGACATCAGGTTTCATCCCATCAAATTATTTCCCTCCAGAACAGAACTTACAATATTTCATCGTTCCACAAATTCCACAACAATTTGATGCTCAATGTACTCAAACAAATTTCTTTGATTCTCCTAATTCATCATCATCCTCTCAATCAAACTTTGTCAAGCAATCACCAAAATTTTCTTCACCTCAATTAAATTTAAAAGTTACAGAAAATTTAGTTAATATGAATAATTATACTGTGATGGATGAATCTAAACTAGAGAAGAAAAAATTACAAAATAGAGCTGCTGCGCAAAGAGCTCGAGAGAAGGAAAAATTTTTGATAGAAAATTTGAGGAATGAGAATGAAATGTTAAAGAAGGTGTACGAAGAAAAAGTTGAAGAAATGAAGAGGTTGAATTCTATATTGGAATCGATTGAAAAAGAAAGAATGTTAAAAGTAAATTTATAATGATCATCAAGTCAAGGATATGATTTTTGTATGTTTTCTTTCTTCAATATATTTTTATATACATTATATATATAGTTTTATATAGCGTACTTGTAATATTGTTATCTAGCCTATATAGCCTATTTAGCCAAATGTTACGCTACTAAATTTGTAAATTTTATGCATGGTAAAATTTGGCGATCCAAAAAATGGTATATATATAATATTTTTTTTCTTAATAAAAAAAAAATTATTTTTACTCGTACGAAATCATTTTTTTTTTTAAAAAAAAAAATAAAGTAAATATTTTAAAGTGGAACGATAATTAATGGGATTTTAAACATTTAACATGACTATTAATAATTTGAAAGTATCATAAACTTCATATAATGTATATATACAAAAAAAATAAAGATAACGCTATAATTATAAAATTCACGTAATTAACATGTATTAATGTGATGATATATAATATAATAATATTATTGAGGACATGAAGAATTTTTAGCTGACCTGGTAATTCTATTTCATTTAATAACGTGGATTATTATTATTATTATTATTAGTTTAACAAAATAAGGTTATTATTTTTCTTTACACAGAATGATCTTAACGAATATTAAAATATTAATTTTTATTTGATGAAATATTTGATGATAATATCATTTGATTTGAAGAAACCGTTTCGTTGGATTTGTTATATTTGGTATGATGATCTACAGTAGTTGCTGTTGTTTTAAAGTAAGTTAACGAACTTTTTTATCTTAATTCTTTTTTTTTTATAAGCATGATAAGTTGATAAGATCAATATAGTACTATATAGTATATAGTATTTTAAATAAATTTGCTAAGATATGTAAATATTTGTTTAAAGAAGATATAGATTTAATATTGACAATAATCGAATTATGAGAAAGATTTGAAAATGTCGAATCCATTAAGAAAATAACGAGAATATTTTAATATATCAAGTATATTTTAAATATTATACATATATATATTAATTTAAATTTCTTTTTGTAGTAGCGAATATTTTGGAGATTATCAGATTTCTGATATATATAAGTCACCTAACGCTAACGTTTGGTTACTATTTACGATTTAAGAATTTTTAAAAGAGGTGCGAAATATGATGATTTCTCTAATAAAATTAGTTCATCATTTAGCTATAAGTAATCACGTTACTTGAAGTAGCTACAAGTATCATCTGAAGTTATTTATAGAATTGAGGGTTGTAATATAATGAAGAATTGATTTACGGTAATTTCTATTATTTAATTTGTGTTAATTGGTCGAGTAATTATCATGGTAATCATTATGTGTTTATTAATTATAGGATCATATGATCATGAGATTGACATATTATTTGGAGGAAGCACTTAAGTAACACTATATTAACACCCTCGTACGTATTCAGATATCTTTTTTTTTTCCAAGATGATCGTGACGTTTTCTAAGAAAATTATTTATTCTTTTTAGGAATAAATTATTATTCCTGAAATTATTAAAATTATTTAGGGATATGGAAATCAATAATTATACGGAAGTGTGAAGATTACTACAGAATTTCACGTACTGCAATTATTAGTTGAAAATACATCAACAATTAATAGTATTGGTGTGTGACAATTTTTAAAGAAATTTTTTTTTGTTTCTTAGTAAAAAAATTAATTATTTATTTTTGTGACATTTTTTTTAAAAAAAAAAAATAGTAGAAAACTGTTTAAATCACCCATCTGAATGAATATGGGCTCTATAAGTCTTTATGTTGATGATTTTTATATAAGAAATGTTAATTTTAATAAATTCAATATATCTATAATTAAAGTAAAGATCTGGAAATGCGTTCACAATACTTGTAAGTTGATAGGTTGTATCTGTAATGTTCTAAAATAAAAAAAAAATAAAATGTAAATATAAATTTAATGTATTAACAATATATACAATTATCATAATTAAGATCAATATTCTAACCAGAACTCAGATTTCTTTTGTAGATAGCTAAAATGGATTTATATCTGAATTGCTTGCAAATACCCGTTACGCGCTAGTTTTACAAAATCATCCAATGCGTGAGATACTGTGGGTCCATATGTCTGCTCCGTTGCATCCTTGACTTAGTATAAAACGGCATCATTTTTGCTTGCATTTTTGGATTTGGATAGTTTCTGTGTGTAGTTAATATCATAGCCTATAACGTGCAGCAATGGTGACCTCCCGCTGGGCACTACCTTCATTATGTCTTCAATCTGTTAAAATCTTGCTATTGTTCTTAAACAGCCCTGCAAATTTAGTTAGTTTCCTTGGATTTAACATCTCATGTTGATATGCTGAAGAGTTGTAATCTGTATCATTTTATTTTGAATCATACTAATTATAGATGGATGTTCCTTTTTTTTTCATGATAATGATTTATTGATTTTAGATTAAGATTATAACTTTCAATATGTAATGCCCATGAACTTAGCAAGTCGTTCTTTGTAGGCGATACCTTTATCAAAAAATTTTACAAGACTAAAAGATAAAAGTATGACTTTTTATTGATAATATTCTACCTTTTTAACCTATGTAAGGCAATAAATAACGACCCTTTTGTTGATCTAAATGAGTTAGGTTTGATTGACTTTATATTTGAAACATAATCTAACGTGGAAAAATAATAATATATATATTATTATTCAAATTGTAAAAGAGACTCCGCAGTTTCAGAATTGAATTTTTATTACTACTGATTTGAAAATTAGTAATAATGATAATATTTTATTATAACAAAGTATTTTACTAAGTTTTTCAAAAATAGAGTACACGTGATCTAAAATTATGTCATCAAACTTTGCAAATGACGTACATTAAATCCATTAATCAAGGGAATCAATGATTTTAAAACCAAAATATAAAAGTTTAAATTTATACTGGAAATGACAAATTTTCACGTCGTATTAAATGTATAAATGAATATATATATATATATATACGTATATTTATTTATTTTTTTACTAAATCTTAAATCTTATTTAAAAAATCTTTAATAATAATAAAAAGATGGTTCAAGTATCGAAAATAACGAAAAGAAGAAAATCTATAATGAGAACTACTATTAAAACTAGAAATTTTAAGAATTCTCACAAGGAAGCTTTTTTTCAAACTTCGAGAACTTGGCGTTTTTCGTAAGTAAAAAATTGTCAATTTAAGTTCTTATTATGTTAATAAAATTCAATGATTGACTTTTTGTTATATACTGTATAATAATAGACTAAATAATCCAAAGAATCATAAAGTGATCCGAAAGCCAAGGAAACAGGAAACAAACCAATCAAAGATCAAAAATACATCCAAAAATGATAAATCAAGAATAATACAAGAAATATATGAAATGTTTAATGAAACATTCAATGTTGATGATATCGATGATCTTGATGATCTTGATGTAGAAATGAGTGAGATGAATGATGATGTCGATAACGATATTGATGAAGAGATAGTTGATGAAGAGATAGTTGATGAAGAGATGGTCGATGCTGAAGATAATAATTGTGATAAATGTACTACTGATGTACATGTTGATTTTAATAAAACAAGTGTAGCAAATCAAGTGACAGAGAATGACACAAGCAGCATCGCTCAATCCCTTGATCCCCTTGGCCCATGCGGTGGAGTATCTGATACAAAAGACAAAGGGGTAAAATATGATTTTATATGTGATTGTTGCAAATCCAAATTTAAAATCCAAATTTTATTATCTATATAAATAATTAACATAATTAATATAATAATATAATAATTAATGTAATTTTTTTTAATTCTATATCTAATAAATAGTACATTTTACTATACAGTATATTATTATCGTGTATTCTTAAGTTGACTGTTATTAATTTGATTTAAAAAAAATAAATTTTTATTAAAACCTTTTATTTTCACAGCCAAATTTCCCGTAATAGTATAAATTCGGAATAAAATAATGCTTACGAGTAAATATTTACTACTTAGAAAGATTCATACTTTTTTCCCCCTAAAAACATTTGGTTTCTTCCGGTTACAGATCTAAATAATCTGATGTAATTTATTATTACAAAGCCAAGAAAAATATAATGGTTACTTAATTTTTTTTGCATATTTAAATTGTCATCAAAAATTAATAATTAATATTTTTAAAAAAACAACTTTTATCGTTAGATACTTATGTAATTATTTTGTAATAATAATAGATTATTAATTTCAAATTATAAAAAATTTATTCGCTGTAAAAACTTTTTAAACTTTAATGATACGTGCTGAATTAGTCATCCTTTATTAGTCATATTTTTTATATTCAAAAGAGCAATTTTGCGTTTGATATTGTTTCTTAGGAATTGATTCCAAAGTATTTAAATTTTCATCTAAATTCTGTTTGGATTATTGAATAAGTCGCATGAATGTTTGCTGACAGAGGCTTACTTCACATTTCCCGTTACACATGTTGATCATTTATTCCCATGTTGATTAAATTTATTTCCGGAATAAACAGAGTAATCACGTGCTCATTTATGAAACACTTTGCGGACCAATCTACGCATAGACAGTCACTATAAACGGATTTTCATTATCTTACTTAGGTCATTTCTTGTAAATACATATGTAATGTTACATTGTAACCAATGTTTGACATTATTCACTTTAAGAATTTTTCAATTAAATTGGTTTAGACTATAATTATAATTATTTTTAACGCTAATACCAACTTACGTGTGGTTTATTGATTTTTTTAGGATTTACTTTAATAAAAATTTCACGGATGAAACTATTTACTAAAAAGGGTTACATCCCCGATTTGTCGATCATACCAGAAATAATGAACCAAATTCCAATTTCACGGAGAGTGCCTAACTTCGGGACTATGGCCTAAACTGAAGTCGAAATTAAGATCGTATAATAACGGTCTCGGTCGATAAAAAGTGTCATTGTTTAATAAATATAAAAAAAAGAAGTGTCTTTATATATTAAAAATACTTTGCAATAATTATATTCTTAATGAATTATCTTTAAAAGTAATTATTATTTTCAAGTATATAGAAATTAATTTGTAAGACATGCGCTCTCGTATTACTGCATACGATATATCATTCAATTAATTCGTTTAATTATACAATAGATAAAATTTATTTTATCATTCATATAATAAACGAGATAATCGGTTTCTATTTGCTAAGAAACGGCCGCAGTGTGCATGTGACTGCGTTAAAATATATTACTGTAGGTGAGATCAGAGGATAATTTTTTAATACGTTACGATGGTCCAATCAATGTTTTTAAATTAGATGAAAGTTACACCATTGAATTTTTCATTTTTAAAAATTTTAAACATATGCACGCTCTTGATTGGATTTAACCGTCACAATGGGACATGTTATGTCCCACAAACACACTTGAGAGTGTCTTGAGGGTGAAACTCGTATTTGTCCCTGTTTTAACCTAATTTTGTCAATACCAATTGAAGTATAATGGCATAATTTCTACTATAATTCTCTACATGTTAATACACATAAAATTACTAGAAACAAGTACAATTGTGCTGCTTGGGCATTATTCTGTTAAAGCTTTTTTGGAACAGTGTATAGAACAATCTAAATAATGCTTTTGGACTATTATATTACCAAAATGCTATTTGAATGTATCATTGATGATTATGTACGCATCAGCTAACTGGTATACCATATTTATATTTATCATCCTCAAGTAAGATCGGCGAAGTTTTTTTTTTTATATTGCCTTAAAGACTTACACCATTGGGTCCATTGGTATATCCATTACCAACAATAATTATTCTAATAAAGCAAAAGAAGTAATAATTAAATTGCATTTTGCAAGAAAAATATAAAAAAAAAATTTGTATTATTTATTATTACACGAAATTTTTATAATACCATGGCAACGAATAATGATAGAACCAAAATTTTTGCCATAAATATAACAAAGCTTATATTAAAAAACATAAGTATATTAAATTACTTTACACAATTTCTTTCACGGTAACATTGTCAAGTTTAAAAACGTTAAATGTTCCACTTATAAAATGACTTATTACTATTTTTTTTTGTATTAGAATATTCGCGTAGTATTAGGATTACCCAGCATAGATGACTGGGCGGGAGTCCAATAGAAAAGAGGAAAATCCAAGTTTTTGTTCAAAATTTTTTTTGATGATCACAGTCATGTGAACAAAGTTAGCTTAATAACAAAAATTACTGAAGCCCGAAGTGATGCATTGCCAGCATTAAGAAATTGATGATCAAATGACTAAAAGTCACATGATTTTTCGTGGAATTTTAAGCAAAATTACTAATGAAACTTACAATTTACCATGAAATATACAATTTACTTATTCATCAAATCTTAAAGGAACAATAATTTTAGTATAAATTAACAAAAATTGAATTCATGAAAATTATTAAAAGATTTGCTAAGAACTTTCGGTACTAGATCCAAATAAGATTTTTTACGTCTAAATATTTAACACTGTAATGTTTACATATAATTTAAATTAACTAAATTCTTTATTTAAAAGATTATTTAATAATATAGTGTACATTCTTCGCCCATGTACTGTAACATATTAAATATACTTTTTTTTTAACCCGAATTTTCACTCCCAAATTTTTTTAATATTTTTATAAAGGATATACTTATATATATATATATTTGATAAATCAACTGATTTTGGAGAAAAACAAACATCAACGGCAAAAACAGTAGTGCATATTCATATTTATATATACTCTATTAAAATCTACTCATAATTACAAAAACCATAAAGTCTACATTTATCTATTTGCCTTTAAGAACGATCGATGACACCACCTTGTTAGCCTATCTACTCCACTCCTCCTATCATAATCTAACATATATACACACCTCCAGCCGCCCACACCAGGTGTCCTTTCCTCGTAAGCTGGAGGTGCTTCCTGTGCATCATCACTAACGTTGGCTTGGCCAGCAATGCCTAAGTACAAAAATGTACAAAAAAATTAGTGCGCGCACTCATTAAGCAGGTAACCCTCACAACCATCCTTTTGGTCTCCTTTGACAACTATTAGCGAACACATACAACGTGATTGCTTCCACTATCTACAGTTCACTTCATTCAAACTATTCCGGTCACATCATCAAACTGATCATATCATTGGGATCAAGGGGAAAACATCCTTTCGGACGACACCCGATACACTTACAACCAAAGTCTTGATGATAAATGTGAAACTGTCTACCTTTGCTAGTGGTGTCACTTATGGCTAGTTGTTCATGAGCCCTAGCCTCATCTATGAACAGCTGACATAAATCCTTTTTTTACGTATCTTGGCATCTACAAAAATAGTGGTCAGGTTAGTGGTCAGAAAACGTTATTACCACTAACCAAACCTTAAAAAAAAAACTTTTGAAAAAATACCCTCCACACAGTGTTTGAAACACCGAAAAGGAAGGGATAAGAAATAAAAAAAAAGAGAAAAAATAGGTCAAGAAAAGGAATGGAACAAGAGAGGGAAAGAAAGGATGGAATTTTTTTTTAAAAATTTTCGGATGGAGAGGTATTTTACATAAATTTTTAGATAAAAATGAAAGATTTTTCCCACGGAGTTTGGAAGCTCTTGATCTTTTAAAAAATTTGTGTCATTGTTAAACAAATCAATATAGATTTTTTTTCTGTTAGAGATGACTCACGATTATTGATCATGTGATCATGCATAAATACGCTCTATTAATGTATTGATTGTAATAACAAAATGAGATTTATAATATCAAGGTCCGTTTATAGGATTGATAACTTTTTATACATGAGACGTTATTTTTATGTTAAGTGGTTTCAAGTTAACCAATATTTATTGGAAAGCATCACAGTATGATTAAAAAGTACAACCATTAGCTGTTTGTACTCCAGTGAGACTGGACTTCGCTCAAATGATTTCGTTCACTACACATAATTGATTGTACAAAAATAATCAATACATTTTCGGAATCAAAAACATAGTTACAAAATAATCTATGTACTTCATCGAAGAATTACTTTTATCGTTAGATATACAATTTTCGGAATATGTTCCTTGTGATCACGCATCATCCAGTTTTGGATACATATTATAATACAGGATGTAGAAATTGTAATTATAGCGAGGTAAGTTTTTTCGATTGATCATGGCCGATGAAATCATGGCGAATGCAATTATAATACTTTTGTGTTACCTTAACTTTATACTAATTACTGAGATCAAGATCCATACATTAATCGTCCGATTTCCACTTTCGTCATCATGAATCTGTTCTATCGTTAACGTATGAAATAATTTGTATATATTGGAATCTTTGAATAAAAAGAAACGCTATACTACTGTTATGACCCTGAATGGAGGGTCAGATTATATTAGTCTTCATCATCAACCAAAAAACAATTTCCTTGTTATTGATATTTATTTAACGGAGCTTCTCTAGTATAAGGAGGCGGAGACTATTGGTTTACGCTGGAAAATGGAAGAATATATCAGCAATATATGTGATTAAAAAATTTGTCGATAATAAAGAGGCATGTCATTAGTAACACCTTTCGTTATATAAAATAAAATATTAATGGTTCACTTTCTTTCTAGGCTTATTTAACAAACATAGCCAGCGGTCATAAACATATAATCCAGTTTTACGGACTCACGACGTCACAAAGTAAAAATAAAATTATGCGATAACCTATTGATATGCTTTTTTTATTGTTAATGAGGAGAAATA